AATTTGCATTTTTCAAAAAATTGTACAGAATTTATCTTTATTTCAAATAAAGAAATACTTTGCATGAGTAAGTTTTATCCTGTTCAGTACTATAGACAAAATTTCACATAACATTTCATTGCATATAAGAAAATAACCATCACTGGAAGTTAACCAATCAAATGTTATCCCTTTTTTGCCCTGTGTACAAGCTTTAGTAACCATGTAACCTCAAGTTTCCAAAATATTCTATAGAAAAACCAAATAAAAAAATAATGGTGCTTTGAAACACCCAAGACATATGTTTATGACTCCGAAATCGTTTACTGCAATGAAATGTAGGATTAATTTCCTACAACTGTCAAATTCAAGGGAATATTTTTTATCGACCCTTTTTCGTATGGTACCGGATGTGACGTACTATGACTTGGTGGTATTACACCTAAAGAAAACTTTTGTGTTGAATAAATTGCATGCGATTTTTCCCTTTGTAATACAGGATATTTCAAACATTACTGTCAAGTTTTGTCATAATCAGTTCAATAGTTTGAGAAAAATCTAGTATAATGTAAGACGACATCTACAGAGTTCTGAGCAAAATTTCTTCGAAAAATCCAAATCAAACCGCATCATGATAGAATATAGCGTGGACCAATAAATGATCAAATATTTATCTCATCTGCCTACAAACAGTTGAATATGATACAAAAGATGAATTTAGGATGATAAATACCATTAATGGACCTCCTTGTCTTCATTATGTGACCAGGTGGTAAAATGCTCAAGATGACTTGAATGCGGAACGTTTCAAAATACTTTATTATACTATACAAAGAGGGCAACGACAGATCTGAAATATACAGATAATGACAAATAAATATAACTTTACAAATAAATGCATATGAATATATCATTTTGTAGCAAATAATATATATTATTTTTAATTACACGATTGCAAATAAATAATAATGCAAAATACAGTTAAATGACAACTCTGAATGTAAACAATTTGTAAATCAATGCAAATGAAAACTGTTCACTAAAGTAAGTTGACTATACGACTTAATAAGATACTGTACAACATTGAAAGTAAATTACAGGTAAATAAGAAAAATATAAAGTATGAAATACAATTGGCAAAGTAAATGAAACTAAATTAAATATTTAAGACAAAAACTTTTAACCATAGTTTAATTTGAAAAACCTTGAAATGATAAATACCTTATACTGCTGTCTACGGCTCATAGTGTTGCTTCTGGTGTATTACAGTATATATAGTAAAAGTGAACTGGCAAACTAGCCAGAACCAGATACAAAACAACTATTAAGGAAAGTAGTTTGTCCAATAACCAGTGGTGAGTAAATATCAAACAGCCTACATGAAGTATTTGGATTCACTGAACCATATAATACAAAATGTGTTCAATATAGTTAGATCATTATAATATAAGGGTAAAATAGATATAAATGAAGTACACAGTTGGGAATATTATCAAAAAGATAAATTGTACATAAATGAACTTGTCCACAATAATAAGGTCCCTTTTGGTCCAATTATACCTTTCATTTTCTCAAAATTTCAACTTTTTAGGCCAATAAATAAAAATTTTGAGGTAGCTTTCACTCATTTCTAAAAAAAGTGTGAAAATAAATGAGTAATTGAGGTATTCAAGCTGAATGAACTATCCATATAAAAGGTTACTGACTCCATGGTGGTTTCAATAAGTCCTTATCTAAAACTTAAATTTACGCCGCGTTCCAGAGAGGGACATAAAAAGCTTCTCTTTTAGTGAATAATTTGTTGTTTCTTCTTCAAAAACAATTTCATTTACTGATAACTACATATTTATTAAAGTATCACTTAGGAAAAAGTTCTCTATTATAGCAAAATATAAGAAATAAGGAGAAAAAGCCAGAAAAAGCTCCCAAAACACTGAATATGGCTTGCTCTGTCTACTAATATTCATGGTAGAGTCCTATTTCAAGGCAATTTTCTTATAAAATGTGTTTTTGAGACTCTATCCACAAATAATTTTTCCTTTTTGTAATATTTCACTTAAATAGCATGAAATTTTAACGAATGAGAGTACAAACAAGGTCAAAGGTGCATTTTCAGCTTCCCATAATAGGTGTTATATTACCATTGATTTTCCCCTATTAGTCTTTGTTAAATTCGACTTTTCAAAAAATTGTACAGAATTTATCTTTGTTTCAAATAAAGAAATACTTTGCATGAGTAAAGTTTTATCCTGTCCAGTACTTTAGACAAAATTTCACATAACATTTCATGGCATACAAGAAAATAACCACCACTAGAAGTTAACCAATCAAATTTCACCCCTTTTTCCTATGTGCAAGCTTTAGTAACCATGTAACCTCAAGTTTCCAAAATATTCTATAGAAACACCAAATAAAAAAATAATGGTGCTTTGAAACACCCAAGATTTATGTTTATGACTCAGAAAGTTTTTACTGCAATGATATGTAGGATTAATTTGTCAAATTCAAGGGAATATTTTTTATCGACCCTTTTTCGTATGCAACCGGATGTGACGTACTATGATTTGGTGGTATTACACCTTTAGGTGCAATGGTTTTGGTGTAACAATAAGATACAATAGGAACAGACTGATTTTGAATATAAAGTGGAATTTCAGATGTTACCTCTTTGTGATGAAGAACGTTGCTGATGTTGATAGCATTAATTCCTTTATTAGAAAAACGAACTGCAAGGAATTTTCTCTTTTCATTATGTAAAGATTCCGATCTTACTGGTTTAAAAGGACGGAAAAGAGCTACATCACAAATCATCCAGACCAGTCTGTATATTGGAGAAAATGTCTTTATGCATCCCTTGTCAAGTGCATAATCTCTCAATCATTTAAAAAAATTAGCAGTCAGTGAAAACAGAATAGTTCTAATGTAATGTAACCCTAGTGGAGGATGAAGATGTGAAAGAAGGTCATCAAAGCTCACAGAGGGCTATCTTAATTTGGAAGACTTTTTTGCATTGGGCCGATGGTAATGTTTTTGCCCATGATTACACTGGGGTCTTAAGGTAGTATTAAATAAACTTTTAAGTACATTTACATCACTGCAGGCAGGACTTGATAAATTTCTTACTCCTCTGATGTTATCATTGCAACCATATGGCATTGCAGTACCGAGTTCCCTTATCCAGAAATGAGGAAAGAAGTACTTAGTATAAGGCCATCGGTGTGGTGATAAATTTTCTCGATGATGCGTTCTTTCAAAGATAAAGAAGGATCATGGTCCGGTTGATTAAAATGTTTATGAAGAACCCTGAATTGCGGATCTTCATTATTAGACCGATGTTGAATCATCCTTTTAAGCATAGTTGTATAGATTATCAAACGGATGTTTATTGAATAAACGCAGACATCTTACACATTGGTTGCATGTACGCATTTAACGTATAAAATTGTCAGTAAATCATGTAAATCATAGAGGGTGATTGAAAAGGTGTCTGATTACAGTAGTTGTCGTCTGTTTATGTAGTTCATACGTGTATCTCGTTTCTCGTTTTTATATAGATTAGACCGTTGGTTTTTCCGTTTGAATGATTTTACACTAGTAATTTTTGGAGCTCTTTATAGCTTGCTGTTCGGTGTGAGCCAATGCTCCGTGTTGAAGGCCGTACATTGATCTATAATGGTTTACTTTTATAAATTGTAACTTGGATGGAGAGTTGTCTCATTGGCACTCATACCACATCTTCCAATATCTATGTTATATCGTGCGAGTTTTGCCTGATGAGGCAGTAGACTTTTCTTTTGACATTTTTGTAGTTAGAATCATTATATTTAAAATATTGTATTGTTTAAGTTTCAAAAAGGACAAAAATGGAATTCACATGATTGATGTGTAATATCAACAGTCCAAAAAATATAAGGTGCATGATCCACTGGAAATATGGAAATATTTTACACACTTTCGAAAAGTGTACTTTTCGTTTGCTGGAGACAACTTAAATTACCACCAAGGACATGAACTATGAAAAATGCCATCCGGTTTAGTATACAGTTTGCATTGATCAATCGTATTGTTTGATTAATTACGAATGAGTAAAGGTGAATAAACTACAGCACAATAGTCAGAGAAATAGAGTGTGTTTACAGAGGGAATATGATCGAAGTAACTTCATGTATTGTCCATGGATTTTGATTAATGACATTAGAGATTTAGGTATGAAATAAAATTTGCAAAACTTATTCCATATTAAATGATAACCACTTTTTGCGTCAAAGAGAATATCTCCAGTGTGTATCAAACCAATAAGTTTTTTTTCTTTGAATTGTTTTGCATGTTCGATCTGTATATTGTTTTAGTTGGAACTATGGCCAAGCTACGTATTACGAAAACATCAGTGTGAATAACACATTAAGTATCGGAAGACTTTCAAGAAATAGTAACATGCAAATTGGACACGATTATGTGGATCACCGATGTACGCTTAATACAACATACTTGTTAACGGAGATACATTGACATTGAAAGGATGAAAACTGAAACCAGACTTGCAAAGATATTTTTACACTAAACGTTTATATATTATACCACTGTGTTACTGTATCCGATTTGTGTATGGTTATATCAGAAAACACTCGGCACTTCAAATGATAGTTTTAAATTATAAATAAAGTATCTTTCAGCTTGTTCAGGGTTTTGTATTCGTTTCAGTTGGACGTGAACCGCATTCAATGTTAATGAAACAAGATAATTGACAAATAATTATCAACTATTATCCGTTTTTTTTTACTTTATTTAATATCCATAGGTCATTATTTCCTGTTTAGGATAATACAGTCTTCTCACCTTAACTGCTGTCTTGCCTTTCAATATTAGCTGTGTTGGTAGAAGCCTCTTTGAATATTCAGACATCTGCTGGAACTTGTGTTCCCAGTGATACATAACCCTTGGCCCTTCGAATGGTAGTATTTAAGTTATAGCTATTATTAGCATTCAGCTTATTCAGGTTTTTGCAATGGTTTCAGTTGGACGAGAACCACTCAACAGGACACTATATGACCTGAAAACGCTAAGTACAGTGTTTGGATATATAAAGCAGGGCCACTTTAAACCCCAAAACTGTTCATCGTATCAAAAAATTGCAGTTATTGTTCCTTTTCGTGACAGAGAACCACAACTACGGATTTTCCTTAATAACTTTATACCACGTATTTATCGACAGCAATTGGAATTTACGATATACGTTGTTGAGCAGGTAAGTATCGATTTGTTTCTTTAAAAGAAAAACATTCAAGCAGGCAATATTAGTTAACTGGTGTTCAATTCTCATTCATTTATTGACTAGACAGTTATCTAAACGTAAATTGTTAAAAAAAAATAGTGTTTATCGTCTCTTTAATTATACGTCTTGGAACATTGTCAAGTTAAATATGCCACAAAAGGTAAAATAGCAACAAAAACAGCTCCAAGGAAAATTCAAAGCGGAAAGTCCTTTGTCAAATGGCAAAATCAAAAGCCCCAACACATCAAACGAATGGAAAACAACTGTCATATTTCTGACTTGATACAGGCATTTCCTTATGTAGAAAATGTTGAATTAAACCTGAACGGTAAGCAGATCCTGCTCTACATATGGCATCCGTCGTGTTGCTCTTGTAAGTACAAACCCGGTAATAAGTCTAATTCGATAGGTCACATTCGGGGAAAAGGGAAAGGGATTGTAGTAATTACCACAATTGGAACATATCAGTCGTCATCTGTTAAACGGATATTCCATAACGGTCAACAAATTCGTGATGGCTTCCATAAAATTTACGAAGGGAGGTTTTCAACTTCACCATTTCGAACTCTTGGTTTAATAGCTGCATTGTGAGTAGCAACCCTCTATCAAGGGAATCATGATAGAAATACAAGCCCTGAAATAGCGTATCAACTGGGAGATGTTTACTAGGTGCTGCTGGAATGTTGCTACATAGTAATGGGAAATTAACAATTGGGAAGCTGAAATCATCTCTTTTGTCGGAAAGTTTTGTTTTCAACCGACCATCATTGTCATTTATAGATGTCAGTCAAGATATGAGGCCGACTTAACTGTATCTGCTGTATCCTTTATCCTTAAATGATACTGCTAACTTCTTTTCTTTCTCCCTGTATGAAGTCAGCCTTATATGAATAAAGGAACAAGTCGACAAGAAGCACAGTTGGTTCCCATGGGAATACCGATTGTTTGTTTAAAAACACGTCCTTCAAACGTGACAAATATGTTGTCAATCAAGAAATCAAGCAACTTGATAATGTGACTTTCAGAGAATGTTTTGTAAGTAAGAGTTCTTGAAACAGCTGCAATGTCACATTCATCCCATAAATGTCTTTCGAAAAAGGGGAATATCAAAAGTATGTTGTATTTCACATCGCATAAATAATAGCGTTAGATACAAGTATAATGCTATAATGCGCAACACATGTATGCAATTTCAAACCTCTATCCTTCGGGTTATATCACGATTTGAACATTTAGGATATACATATATTGGAGTCATTTCACTTTTCTTTATTTTGCAGACTCCTGGGAATCTGTTCAACAAAGGTATGCTTATAAATACTGGCTTCATCGAGGCAATGAAAGACATGAAATATGACTGTATAGTAATACATGACGTTGACATTCTTGCTGAAGATGACAGAATTCTTTACACGTGTGGTGACAATCCGGCCCAACTCAGTACGAAGATTCAGAAATACGGATATAGGTATATATGTTCAAACGTATTGTCTATCTCACAACCGTTCTTGTTTGTATGCAATTAAAACAGTATAGATTATATTCATGTTCCATGCGGCAAGGTAAAATGAAGAATTTATCAGTATTACAAATGGATACCGACAACGCTTTCTATACCTAGGATCACGAAAATATATTTATCAATTGCAAACTTAAATTCTCAATTTTAATGTTCGTCGTTTGGTCTTTTTTGTTTTTTGCCATGTCTTTTTGAGTTTAATCTCGACTTATCAGTTTGAATGTCCCATTGGTATCTTTCGCCTCTTTCTTGGTAGATGCCGACCACACAATTTATTATTTGAAACTTAAATTGCTTCAATTTAATGTCAAACAATTAATCCTGAGACTGATATAGCTGGCAATTTGTGAAAAGCGTTCTTATCTGAGGTACCAAAAGGAGATAATTCTCATGCAGGTACCTGATTGCAAAGAAAAGGAACATTAGCAATTCCATTATTGCTGACAACAATTTAAATAATCAAAGTCTTCTATAGGTGATAATATATGCAAAGCAGTGTATTTTATGATACATACTAAACTGAATGTTAATTATGGTACATAATATTCAAGAACCTGACAAAATACTGATATTTTATATAGATTACACCAAGAAAAAAGCAAAGCGTTTGCGCCGGCCTTTTTATTATTGTAGACAAAAATGTGACTGTATACATAATGGGGTACTAAACTAACTGCATTTTAATGCCGGTACAAAACATTCAAGAACAAAATAAAATATTAGCACCTTCCATAGATAACTCATAACATTCCGCTAGATAAACTTAAGTAAGTGTAAAATCAGAAATTTTTGCGTGATTTTATGTATGCGAATAATGCGGCTACATATATGAATATATAGTGTACTAATATCGCATTATTAGGTAAACTAATCTGCGGGATACTAAGTTAAAAGCCTTAAATTTAGTAAGTTGTTACGTTAGTTTGTACTGAAGGTCTCGGTACTGGTCTGGTGATAACATTTGTCATTTACAGTCCGACACCAGAAGAATTGACCTAGTGGTAGTAATAAAACACATGCTACCAATTATATATCACATTGGGTCTTATATCCCTAGTGACGTTTTAGGCCAAAAATTCCAAAACCTTCAACATTGATGTGTTGATAAAAACAAACAATAAAATAGCCACCAAACCAGGATATGGAACTAGAGTTACAAATGACGAAAATACATTTCTAAATTGGCTTTACTTTTTTAAATTTAAGAATTTCGAATCAGTTAACCAAATTCCCGTCATATCATCGAGTGACCAAGCCAAAAGAATTTCGACTTAAATGGATCACCCTACTTGCAGCCTAAATTGTGATTTTTCGTTTAAAGAAATGTTTAAACTTTAATGTTGCCTAGTCGTAGATTTAAAAAATGGTGCAATTTTAATAAATTTCATGTTAAAGTTCGGAAGTGGAGTTTTTAGTGGTGTTAAGAACTTTCACAAGGGATTATAAAACGTCAGAAAATAATATCTGTATTGTGAAATAGGCAAGACATAACTCCTCTAACGAAAGAATAAAAAAAAAACAGTTCATTTTTGAATCAATTTCAAAATATTGTAATCACCAAATTTTTATGGAAATTCAGGTGGACAAAGAGTTGGCATTCATTTGATATTGTTTACATTACATGTACATTTTAAGATATTTTTCTTATTTTTACGCGGTTTCATAAAAAAGAAATCGAAGTAAGTTTCTGTTTAATTAGTTACCGACTGCCAGCGGCACATATTTCACAAAGTTACTGAATAAAATAGTTAAATGAAATACTGATAGAAAGAGTTGCTGCAAGAGTCCTTCAACATGCTGTGTTAAATACATAACTTTCATTTCAAGCTCTTTACCATTGCATGTTGAAATAAGTTCTTGACGGATATCTGATGTCATAGGTCCCTCTAAGAATTTCTTCAAACAAATGTATGGTCTTTAAAAACTGTATGTTTCAATGCCTTCAGTGTTTTTGGATGAGACAAAACATGAACTATAACATGCAAGGAACGCCTTTCATACATTTGGTCCAAAACTTTTATATAGTTAATGTCTCTGAATCAATTTAAAAACGCTTTAATTAAAGACACCACGAGAACCTCAAAGGGCAGTGTAAATTCTGGAACACCACGATTAAACTGTTTGTATGAGTTTTAATGTCCCTCTGGTGCGTTCGCCTATCTTTCGCAAATAAGAATCTATTTATTGTATTTCGAGAATAAATTCTCTAGTTAACACATAAGACATATAGCCCAGCTGAAGTTAATAACTCACCAACTGTTGATATATAAAAGATCAAAGCCCATGGAATACTTATATTCTTATAATGTTGGAGTGTAAAACGTCTGCTTAAGACCATTTTTTTTTTTTTGGTAACAATATACAATTGCTGGTCAAACGTTTGCTCTGCCTTTTTTGGAACATATCTAAACATTGTTTCATAATGATATATACAATAAACTGTTGCCATGTTGCTAGGTTTGGTGTATGTTATCGGATCATAGGCTAGAGTATATTAAATTTAATTTCTAGTTCAAGTTTAACCTGAAAGAAACTTATGATCGCGTTTGATGTTTCTTTTTAAATTCGAAAGACAGCAATAGGTATGGAGTGAAAGGTATTTTGATGCCTGTATTATATGACCACCATCTTAAAATTTTCTAAGTTAGTGAGAAATCTTCGTACTTCCAAGTATGATGCACAAATGCCAAGAAAGTTTAGACTGGCAATCATATTAGTGTAGTTGTAATGCCAACTCAGGATGAAATTGGGTAAAAAAGTTAGTTGCTTAATGTAACTATACATTCTGTTATTGCCAAGACTTTTCACATTCTGTCGTCAGGAAGTGCAGAAGCATTACTCTTACCATTGTAAGCTTAAGCATCACTTATCCATAATAAAAACTTCGTCAATAAGCAAGGAGTGTGTTGTGTTGAATATGTCATAGATATTTCAGATAGTCATTGATGTCACCAATCAGGCAGTGAAAAGCCTTCTCGTAAATCATCCAACCCATCGTTTATTTCTTCTTTTTGCGGAATATAATGCTAAGTAAAAATTAACCAAGCAAGCCCTGTAGCAAAGGGATTTGGTTATGCATTAATTTGAAAAAGGAGTGATTCTATTTCGAAATATTGATTTTGTCCGATTATTCTATTATTGTATCGAGCCCTTCGTCAGATTCAGTCTAACGTAGATAGATGTATCTTTTCTACGAAATGTGCTGGAAAAAATTACTAGCAGTCCAGTCAAAAAGTGTGGACATTGATCTGGTCAGAACAGACTAGAAACAACATAGTTGATCATCGGTATGAAACGTATATTTGTACGATCTAGAATATCAGGCTTTCTGAACTTTTCTAAATTCACCAGTCTATTGTATGATATGTCACAAGATTTGTGATACTGATACCTTTATATATCAACACCATCAGGTGTACTATACTAATATCATGGAGTCGGTGGTACACATCCTCTTTTCTTGTATTCGCAGCATTATAAAGGGTTCCTTTTGCAGTTAGACATTATTTACTTGTTTAAATCAGATATATCACTAGAAAATTACAGTTGTTAAAAGCACGTCTTCTTTTAAATTTTGAAAATGTTAGCATTCGTGTTGTAAAGTCATTAAAAATGGATTTTTTTTAATTAATATGTATAGGGTCTTTGCATCGGAAATAAACACATTTATTCAAAAACCAGTTGTTGTCATCATACGGGTTATGTTCTTCTCGTATATTTTATGATGGTATGATACTAAACCCCTAAAGGGGATTGTGCTTGATTTTCATATGATGAAGACATACTTTTTCAATCAGTTTAATTAAGGTCTGGAGCTGGCATGTCAGTAACTTCTAGTAGTCTTTTGTTAATTTATTTATCATTGTCATTTTGCTTAGTTTCTTCAGTTACCTATTCTGACATCGGACTTGGACTTCTTTTAAAGTGAGTTTTACTGTGCGTATTGCTGTGTGTTTGTTTATTTTACATTGGCTAGATGTATAGGGGAGAGTTGAGATCTCACAAACCATGTTTAACCCCGTCGTATGTTTGTCCCAAGTTAGGAGCCTCTCTCCATTGTTTGTCTTGTATGTTTTTTTTTAATTTTAGTTCATTTATATGTTTCGAAGTTTAGTGTGATGTCCATTTTCGCTGAACTAGTACACATTTATGTTTAGGGTCCAGATGACACCCGCTTCCGGTGCGGTATTTTCTCGCTGTGTTGAAGACCCATTGGTGGCCTAAGGCTTTTTTCTGCTCTTTGGTCGGGTTGTTGTCTCTTTGATACATTCCCCGTTTCCATTCTCAATTTCATTCGTGGACTACTAAAACTAGAAATATTCTTTGAATAAAACTTGTCCGCTCTAATTTGACTTTAACTGTTAGAAAAAACCAATTTTTAACTTTAGAAAAAAACATGATAAAATATATTTGTTGACAAAAATTCATCAATCATAACATTTTAAAACATTGTTTTATAAACCTGTGATACAAAAGAACTATAAATCACATATTAAATTGGCATCAATACGACCAGTGTTATGATTCACTGCTAAAGCAATTCGTCAATAAAAAGAAAATCTATTTCGTATCGGTAAGAGAATTTATTAAAAAAAAACTGAGCACGAGTGGTATCATAACTTCACCAAATAAGTTTAATTACTTTTTATCACGAAACATTTGGAAGATATCGATATAATGAAAATGAACAAATCTTTTAACCACTCCGTGGAAATATTCTTAAAACTGATTGAAAAAGAACAAACATAAGGCTAAATAGAAGGAGTTTAAGTTTAGAAATATGAAATAGCACTTTAACTCTTCATAAAATGTCAAATCAACAGCATGAGGGATATAAAAAAGAAACAAAATTCAAAATAGTTTGTCGAATTGCATTTAAATGAGAAAATCAAGATGTCTTTTTTTCCATTTTATGAAAAACTGCACCGAAGGAAATGGCTACGGCGTGCAAAAAAGTAAGATTAATGTATTGTCTTTGCAAAAAATGATTTTTAGCCTGCAGTTATGCTGGTCCATTTAATTCGTTAAATAATCAACATTTTCTTTATTTGTCACACCACTAATAAATGGTTATTTACAGGAGCTGACAGTTAACACATAACTTCTAACATAATGGCTCTGTGATAATGATAAAAAAAACAATACAAAACACAACAATTACACAAGTTAACAATTTTTATCTGAAAAGGTCATTTTGATATGACCAACTGTTAAAGAACTGATCAATACATGGAAGTAATTTTCAGTCAATTTTCAGACATATCCACTGAGCTAGATTCAGTTCTGTTCAGACAAATCGCTTGCAGTCCATTAAGATCTTTTCAATTTGTGTCTAGACTGTTCAGTAGTGGTTATTTAACTCTACACATAAACTTCATACTGAATTTTCTGAAAAGCTCCTGCACAGAACTGTATTAAGTACAAGCGATTTGTCTGAACTATACTGAATTTACCGCAGTAGAAAAGTCTAAAACGAGACTGAAAGACAGAACATGACTTAATATGTTATTGTTTAGACATTTCAGATGATATTAAGATCATCATAACCGTTTAAGACTGAAATTTCTTTTACTAGTGTTAGTACTGTGCACACTGATTTAAAATTATTCTCCTAAAAATTCACATGTACAAGGCTCAGAATTAGATAATATGACATACTTAATGTCTTAAATAGAACAAAAGGACACTAAGTCTTTATTGTACAATGTCCGTTACAACTTATATAGCATTTTTATGCAGAAAATCATTTTTTTTAAACTATGTATCCTTTAATACCATCAAATAGAAGATAACTATTAACTAATGTTATTCTGAACATGACGAAATGTTAGTCATTAATCTAATGAATAAAAGTTAACTTACATATACATCAATGAAGATGCGATGTAATTTTAAATGAAACAACTGACTACCAGAGACAAAAAGACGTAAAACTTAGCAATTAACTAGACTAGTTTAATTATTATTTCTCTCTTTTTTTTTCGACAAGTACGAAGTTTTACCCCTGCTGTTATTTGATTGCAAAACACACTACCGTCGTGAGTGCATTTGTCATGTCAACACAGTAAACAAAGTTATTACAATTATTAATTGGATAACACATGTCCAACTTTTTGATTATGTAAATATGTATCATCAATTAATATTATTTTGTTAAGACTGAACTTGATACTTCTTACCCATCCACACAGATCTATCGCTTTTTGAGTATCTTTATCTCCGTTTTTGTTTTTAATCTACCATTTTTGTCTACATTTTGGATAGCATACCTTTTAAAAGAAATTTTGGAGGTATTGTCATCTTTTCAACAGAACAGTTCAAAGCAATAAATGGTTATCCAAACCAATTCTTTGGATGGGGACGAGAAGACCACGAGGTGTCTAACAGGTAATGTAAATGGTTTAATAGGCATCCATCCTGTAAAGAATGTTGCATATACTGATTAATCAAAGCATAACATAAAATGTGTATTTTTTGTGAGTGTATTTTGGACTCGTTACGTTATTTTACTGTTGACGTATTAAGGTGACAGTGGTTTAACGAAGTAAGTTAATTAAGAAGATTGCAAGACACCTAAATATAATAAATAAACTCTGAGAAAATTGTATGAACTCAAATAGGAGCAATTGTACTTGATATGGCTTTCCATTTGTGATTGGATAAACAAGGAGCGATATATTTTGACATAGCTTGCAAGTGAAACTGCAATGTTTCTCTATGCGATATGTGTTTCTCTAAATGTGTGTTTGCGTGTGTGCGTATAACAGTTCGAAGCAATTTTTTACATCCCGTTGTGTTGCCTAACATTGTCAATCTGCCATTGGAAACTTGTACTTATAATGTATTTGCATGACTAATTTGACTGGAATATAACTGTGTATTCATGCAATGTTGTAAATTGTCCACTTACATTATGTACCATAACACCGTACACAATACAATATTTTACCGTACAGCATACAATATTCTACTGTACACCATAAGGCATAACGCATTCCCATATCACATTCCGACTTGCACTTAATCCAATTTCAAATGCATCGAATATGATGGCATCAAAAGGATATTTCCTTTGCTTGACAGCATATTTTATAACCTTGGTGGAATCACATTTAGTTTGGCCAACATTTGTGTGTATTTATGTATAGCAAACTCCATTAAAAACTTGCCAAGTTCCTTTATATTGTTTCAGATGTACTATTGGTCTCAGGTTACCATTATCTTTGTGAGTGCTTGCATACTATTTATTTTATATCGGGATTAAGGAAACTACAATGGCGACGGTTTCACCTTTCAAATTTACAACTTCCTATTTTCTCGGTAGTGATACTGTGATACTCCCGATTTTGACATGTTAACTATATGAATGTGCATCGAATATGCATCAATGTTGTTGGAGGCTCTATCTGCTGGAACAACGACATGTATTCGTCATGCAAAGAGGATAAAGCACCCACAACCTCCAGGTTCTTGAATTGGTTAGAAACCCTTGTGCTCATAGTACATCGTAGTTTCTGAATGCGTTTCTGAATGCATGATCGAATAGGTTTGGTCCATTCTGACAAAGTGTCCAGTTCTGGTTCATCTGTATCGCGCTTTACCCATTTTCTGGCATAGTCTTCAACAGTGTCCATCAGTAACCTAAAGTTCTTTATCCAGTTGATGGGCTGAGGAATTCTATATTTTGGTCCCTTGGCTAACAACTATCTTAGTTGTTCATTAGTAGCGATGCCAAGGTCGCCAGTAATAACATGGCCAGTTGGACTATAATTGTATTTTGACGATGCACATGAGCAATCTGGAGGTTTTGATTTCACATCTTTGAGGTAAAAGGCCTTTATTGTCGAATTCTACTTTAAAAAATAAGTTTTTCCTCATCTTTGGAAGTAGTGGATACGGATTTTAATAGTCTATGGTTAGCATGTCCATGATTATTGCAACTAATCTATACAAAACAGAATTAGAATCAATAACGGAAGTAGTTTGGGCCTCTTGAAATAGTAAATAAAGTTTAGATAATGGAATGGAGTTTAATTTAGTTCTGATATGGTGAATTCCTAAAGGTTTTTGAACAGACGATAACAGACTATCAATTGTCACGGTGCGAACAGCGGGTGGTGTATAATTTCTGTGACCTTGACTTCTATTTCGTCGAGCAGAAGTGTTAAATAATTGTAATGTATTGAAAGTACTACACCTGGGACTAGACAAAGTACATAACCATCAATTTTGTCATTGCATCCATATGGAAAAATGAGATTTTCATTAACCCTAAAAATCAATGATATCAAAATATCAAACATGGCTCCACCAAAGTGGTGTTTTTAGAGTTGCCTGGTTATTAAAATAACATCATGTGAATGTATTTCTAAACGCAATAAAAAAAAACCAGTACAAATGTCAACCAACAAATTGCTACTAAGGTGAGACTCGGTAAATGCACCACATCAATATAAAAATAGGAGATGTGATATGATTGCCAATGAGACTACTATTCACCAATTTCAAATGAAGTGCATGTAAGTAATAATAGGCAACCGTATGGCATTTAGCAATCAGAAAAACCCATACCGTATAGTCGGCTATAAACAGCCCGACATAGAAAATATGAAACAATTCAATAGAGAAAACCTCGATTCCTTCTAATTGTCAAATATTGCATTGTAATCTTGATTGAGCTTTAAGAAATATTTTTTTTTATAAATTGAAACCAACGGTTTATGATATGTTTGGACCCTGAAACGATGACCTGAAATATATTGATATATTATTGTACATCCGTGTGTCATTAATCTATTGTATAGCTAACGATTATGCAAAGGCCACCCTCTTGTCGTCTTGTCGCAAAAGCTTTCTCATTACCTCTTTGGACCAGATGGATTTCTCACTACCTCTTTGGAACAGATGGCTTTGTCATTACCTCTTTGAACCAGATGGCTTTCTCACTACCTCTTTAGACCAGATGACTTTCTCATTACCTCTTTGGATCAGATGGATTTATCACTACCTCTTTGGACCAGATGGCTTTCTCATTACCTCTTTGGACCAGATGGCTTTCTCACTACCTCTTTAGTCCAGATGACTTTCTCACTACCTCTTTTGACCGTTTGAAATATGTGGGTTCTTTGATCAACTGTCATCACATTCGGATACTCATTACTCCGTAATCATCGCATTCGGATACTCAATACACCCTAATCATCACATTTGGATACTCATTACTCCCTTTTTGCGCAAATTTTGAGAGATAGTTCCCCATATTTAACATTTATAGCTTAGCTTTTTTTGATGGAGAAAGATATTTATATAAATGAAAACCTTATAAGGAGCTGTTCTAACACAATTATAATTGTTAACCTTGGCCTGCGATGTACGTCAAATATAAGTTCTGCCTGTTGTTTCACCTGTTTCCAAGTTTCGAATATATATTCGATTGTTCCAAATACATTTAATGATGAAATCGTTCACATTAATTTCCTGTATTATTTTGAAACTAGGAATTATTGTTCCAGCCATAAAATGGCACTTGAATGAGACGAATGACAAGCCACATTATTAAAGACAATCCTTCCAGTGCACCAAGAAATCATCTATCCAATGTTGTGCTCACGTTTGTTCCAGCTGAACTTATCTATAAGACACATAACCGCTAAAAAAAAATTCTGCTTTCTGTTGGTTACATCCTGGCTGAATTTCTATTTACATCATCGAAATAGTTATTCATACAGTTCCTTTCGATCACACCACAAGTTCCCCAGACTTGCTCAACTTACAATCTCCGTCGTGTCTTCTAATTTAAAAGCAGACCACAGGTCTAACTTTTAACGCATCGCACTTAAATTCAGAAGATATTAGGAGGGGTATGGCAAATGATTCTTCTTACTGTCAACACGTTTTAATCTATTTACCGTTTCCAAAATGATAATGCTTCCGTTTTTTTAGCCTGTTTTTGATCTGAGAAATTATCTTTATAAAATATAGTAAAATTTTCTTGAATAGGGTTTGCTACATATAAACGCAGCAAATGATTAAAATAAAAGACGACATACTTTTATCAGACATTTTGAGCTTTGTGCAGCCCCCCAGAAAAATTAACATAGATAAAGCGTTATGGGCCCTTTATATACTTTCCACGCTAAACGACCGTGTGGTGGTGCATGCACCATGTGTACTAGGATGCGCAACTTGCGCCGAGGCATGTCCAAACAGTGCAGTTTTTCATTGGCGTAAAATTACCAATCAAATAATTGAATTCTCTTTCTATTTGGGGCAATAATGAACATAGTATTATAGAAATTTTGCATTTCAAAATTTTAAGTCGGAAAGTAGGGATGCATAATGTGTATACTTTGCAATACTGACTGTCAGTTGAAATTTCACGCCACCAAACTCAACATATATGGTGACTATAACAAAAAAATTCACATTTGGGTGATATCATTTTCGTTGTTTTTGCGTATTAAATAATTGCTGTTTCTCAGAGGTTATATTTGTGCATGACCTCTAACAAGAAATGTGTATTTACGATGGAGCATGAGGAATATTAGTATAAATGGTAATTCTATCAAAAATTTTGATATTGCTGCAATATTTTAAGATTTTGGAAGAAGACTGTTCAGTAGATCTGTATAATTTTTAAGAATGCACATCTGATTTACACAACTTGTTGAAATTGCTTCTTCTCATTAGTTCTAAAGTCGATCTTTTACTGCAGACAAAACAGTGATAAAAGGTGAATAAATAAATGAACACCCTTGGACTTCTAGTTGATGAAGAAGTCAAGGACATTAAGCTGATTATTTCAAGTTAATGCATTATTTATATTAAAAAGATTAAAACGTAGACGTAACTACAGTTTTTAGTGTATGTAAGTGATGCTTTTCTTACTAATTCGTTAATTCCTTTTTTGTTAAATACATTAGAATACTTAAGCAATAGAGGATATATCATTATACTTTTTGTTAGTTATAATGAAAAAAAGCACATCGTTATGGGCGCTATGGAGGCGCTTATAATAGGTAAACCGTTTGAAATGTACAGTGACCATGTCAAATGTTTTAGAACTGTTTCGATATCTACTTTTACCTAAAAATTGTATAATTTCATGCAATGCAACATTTATGGTTTTGAATGTGTAGGTTAATTTAAGCACATATAAAACGAAAGTTTCATAGAGCTAATGAACGGGGGAAATAGAAACTGAAACTGAAAAATAATAATTAAAAAAAAAAATAATAATGAAAATTGATATCGGTGTTTCCTGCCTTATTTTAAGAGAAGTTAAGACCGATCCCGTCTGTAACACCTAGTGACATTGTTTTCCATCATTCTGGTTTTGATATCTTGATTTGTATTTTTTTAATCCATCTGTAAGATTTGAACATCGGTAAACTGTTGTGTCAATTATCCGAAAATACATATTTTACAATTAGTATTTACAGGTTTCGTTTACTATGTGATAGCTACTATTTCGCTTTTTTTCAATTAGTATTTCAGGTTTCGTTTACTATGTAATAGCTACTATTCTGCTATAGTACAATGAGTAATTACAGGTTTCGTTTACTATGTTATAGCTGCTATCCTGCTAATTTTCAAGTTGAATTAAACCACTACTTGCTAAATTAGACTCAACTATAACAAAGTTAGACAATAATTTCGCTGCTTTTTGTTTATGAAGTTTGTATACTTTGTAGAATTCGACGAGCTCACTATAACTTGTCAAGACCATTTCACCAATATGGACACTGTGGGAGTGTGCAACATCAAAAAGCAACTAAGGGAACTGACAGGTATCGAACATAACATATAGCTTGCTGTTCGGTGTGAGCCAAGGCTCCGTGTTGAAGGCCGTACTTACTTTGATGGTTTACTTTTACAAATTGTGACTTGGATGGAGAGTTGTCTTATTGGCACTCATACCACATCTTCTTATATCTATAAAACACTTTTAACAGTTTCATGATATATCGTGCATTACTTGACCTAAATATATATGAACCCGCCCTCTATAAGCTGTTCAAGTGGTGTTATCTTTTATGTCAGTTGATAAAACGGTGACGTACAGTGCTATGGGTTCTTTTAAAAACATTGGCTGGTGCAGTTTTGAAGTCAACAAGTTTTGAAAGAACAGCGTTTTCACTGTTTACGTTGTGGTGCTCGGACTGAACAAATATCAAGGAGAATAAAAGAGATTAAATGGGTTTTCCAAAGGTTTAAAGCGAATATCGTCATTTTGAAACCACAATGTATGCAATGAGAAAGAGTAACCTAATTGATGAAAGATAGCTATCCATTGTGCTAGTCGGATGATAATTTAGCTCAGTAAGTAAAGCGATGGTTTACTGTACCAGAGGTTCTGGGTTCCAACCCCTGCTGGTACATGGGTAATACATGTTATCACGTCACAGTTGTATTGCTCTTTGCAGTATTAAAGATACATTCATTATGTTTTAGAGTAAACAATTATAATTTGAACACCATTAAAGTAAGCTGCAATGGCTCGTTCTTCTTATTTTCATAAAATATAATGTTTAATACAGACAAAGCACCTGTGCAATAAACAAATTATTTTTTAGACCTAGATTATTCAGATTCATCCCGCGCGTGTATGTGTGTGTGTGTGAAACTTATGTACAAACCCTTTGGAGCAGATAAATAAAATTAGCTTAATATTTCTCTTTTAGGCTTGAAATGCTGAGAATTTCAGAATCAATTTGGGAAAAAGATGGCCTGTTTGATCTTTTCGATCATGCATACACAATTTTAGAAAAACAAACAAAGCCATTATACGTATGGATTTACAGAGATATTGATATGAAGAAAGTGCGTCAGGTATTTTGCATCTTTTTTCGACAGTGCTACGGATTCTTATATTTAACTTAAAAGGAAAATAACAAAAATACCGAAATCCAAGGATAATTCAAAACGGAAAGTTCATTATCAAATTGCTAAATCAAAAACTCAAAAACATCAAACGACTTGACTTCCTGAATTGGAACAGGCATTTCCTTATGCAGAAATAGTAGATTTAACCTGATTTTATAGGTAGCTAAACCTCTCACTTGTATGACAATCGCATAGAATGCCTGCGCTTAGGAATGAATATAAAAGTTGTACGGAGGCCATCATGGATCGGTTCACTGTGTAATGTCATATCTGTACCATAGAACCCCACAGATACGTTATAATTGCTGTAACCCTACCTCGATTAGGACATAAATATTTAAAAAACCGACCAAATTCCTTAAAAATCTTTTACTTTTCAAAAGTATATCAAAGAAGCGTAGCCTACACTCATATTTAAACAACCAACACTTTGAAATATATATTCCGTTGCTTATGATTTTAAAATGTATACATTAAACTCGTTATGCTTGCTGTTCACGTTAATGACCAAGGATTTCTACAACACAACCAAGGAGAGTGAACATACATATAGTAGACAGTAATATCGAACAGCTAGTGATTTTTTAATTTGTAAATTTAGATTTTGTTCTTTGTTACAGAAATTGGTTTCGTACATAAATAAAGGAAGGAAAGTACACAAATGATGACAGTACAAAAGATACAATTGAATTTATAACACTTTCAGACAATTTAATGTAGAGTGTTATAGAAGTATACCCGCTGCATATGTCATCGTTTCGATATCAATTTCTGGTGCATTATATAAAAGTGAATTTCTCCTTCACCACCTTTTTAGTGAACAAATAACGCCATACATGGACGAGATCGAAACAAACTGAACTAAAAAGCTGCAAAAAAGTAGTCATTAAACGATTGCAATATCTGGAATTTACTAAAACTGTTGCAGATTGATCCGGTCATACAACTTCGAACATTTTACAATATTAATGTTTTACTTGTTGTATAAATGCTCCAGCCGGACAAGTGATCATTTGGTAGATCCTGTATTGATGTTCACTGCAGAATAAAGTGACAAAAGTTACCTCCTCTGTAAACATTCAATGTTCTGCACTGTACCTGCGAATGTGCATATAATAATACAGAATAGTGCGTTTATTACTTTTACCTTCAGTGCCGGCATTTTTTCTCATATTCTCTTGTAGAAATAAGGATATAAATATCAATAAAAGTATTTGCATTTATTTATTTTTTATTTGTTTAACTTATTTTAAAAGAGGGACGAAAGATACAAGAGGGACAGTCAAACTCATAGATCGAAAACAAACTGACAACGCCATGGCCAAAAATAAAAAGACAAACAGACAAATAATAGTACAGATGACACAACATAAAATACCAAAGACTAAGCAACACGAACCCCACCAAAAACTGGGGGTGATCTCGGGTGCTCCGGAAGGGTTAGCAGATCCTGCTCCACATGTGGCACCCGTCGTGTTGCTTATGTTATTACAAATCCGGTAAATAGTCTAATTCGGTAAGTCACATTCGTAAATGTCTATGGAATAAACATAACTTGTGAAGATGTGAAGATGTTTTTAATAAGCAGTAAGACTTACATGACAACTGGTTTTGATTATCAATATAACATAATATCCTCGTGTCCTAAACACAATCAATCAGAAGAATATAACACTAGACTGCTACAATATTATATAAACAAACACTAGACTACTACAATATTATATAAACAAACACTAGACTGATACAATATTATATATATATAAACAATGTTCAGTAACATTTTCGTCTATATTTTGAATATAAGGAAAACTTGAATTAGACGTATTACAGGTTTTTATTAACATGTGCAACACGACGGGTGCCCCGTGAGGAGCAGGATCTGCTTACCCTTATGGAGCACCTGAGAACCCCCCCCCCCCCCTCCTCCTCATTTTTTGGTGGTGTACGTGTTGCTCAGTCTTTAGTTTTCTATGTTGTGTTTTGTGTGTGGTTGTTTGTCTGTTTGTCTTTCTTTTTTTCTAGCCATAGCGTTGTCGGTTAATTTTTGAACAATAAGTTTGAATGTCCCTTTGGTATCTTTCACCTCCTTTTTGAAACCTAATAATTTGCAGAGGCAGAATAAAAATAGTAACGATACCTAGTTGCTGTTAAGAGTTTCAGTGTTGTGATTTTTGTTTAAATTTTTACTTAATTTCTTTGTACTTTCTTTTTTATAATTGGCTTGTGTGTTGAAAATCAGGAGAACACGCAACCTATTTTTTTCAGGATCCCAGGTCTCAATGTCACTTTATCTATCTGTCCCACAACTTGTAGCCCAAGTCGACCTTAAGATTTTAAATATATCCTTCTAAAATTGCTCTTTACCTTAACCATGAATCCCATTGGTTATCAGAGTAAGAAGTTAAAGGTCAATGTCACTTTGTAGAACTAAAAGTCTGTCAATACTCACTTCATAGTCCTGACAGTTATGAATAAGGGTTGTGAAGGGGATGGTCCCATTTATAACGCCCTTTTTGAGAGGCTGATTTTTATTTCATAGTGATTGCCATTAATCATCGTTTGATAAGTATTGAAGTCTGAAACAAAAGATGGATACAAAATTTTGAATCATATTTATGTCTTGCAACGATGAACGACTTCATCTATCTATAAATGTTTGACGGGCTTTTCAATTGTGATGGCGAGGTGTAACTCTAGTTATTACAGACGAACAATTAATATACATAACATAAATGTATTTCTAACAACTATAATTATGATGTACCACAGAAATTGATAAACATGCATATTCACATGTGGTTAACAGATTTCTTATTTCATTGTTGTATTAGTATATCAATAAAAACTGCTGTTTGGAAATTATCTTTAATTATTTTTTCTTTAACCTACAAAAAAAAAGAAAATTACGCCTTAAGATTACTTACTAGTCATTTTGATATTTAAGGGATCCGTAGTAACAATTATTGTAAGTGTTCGTTATTCAACGCAAAATGAAGTATACTTACGTATGAACTCGTTCCATTGAAACGTATACTTGTGGAGTTGTAATATTCTATGTTCGTCTGAGTTATTGTAGAAACAAAAATAAAACGAGTTATTCTTCTGAATATTTCAATGCTGGTATAATCAATCATCCTTTTAAGTAACACAATCATAAACATGTAAACAGTTGTTATCCAGATTTCATATACTTTAGTTTATTGGCATTCTATTTTGGAAAATACACTACGCCACTCAATTTGTCATCAATTATAACAACGTGTTTATGCTGATTGTTCAGATAGCAAGATAACAAATGCATAAACTAAACAACGAACCTTCGTTTTTTCGCCTTTTTTTGTTAACTGCAGCAATTTGTTTTTAATTTAACCTCTACGTCACGTACTAGGTCATCACTAAGTTGTGGCTTTCACTTGCCCAATTTCCATTTTTCCACGAAGAACGACGGTAAACTTAATAAAAACAAAGTCGCTTTTTTTGTGGATTTCTGCAAAAATTGTGCCACTTCTATGGAATATTCAGAGTATGGAAATAATCATGGACCCATTTTGGGAAAAATTGGCTTAAATAGATACCCTCATTTAGGCCATTTAAGGTCCGTTAGGCAATTCCTTCAGTATATTAGCCAGATCAAATTATTTTTCTGTAATTCAGAGAATGTCATAATTCTCCATAAGTCAGGAATTCTCCAATGCAATATCAAAGCACATTTTCGTTCACTCGAACAAAGACTCGGTACATCCATTTTCCAATAATGCCTCAGCTGACTTGATTCTATCCAACTGCATGCCTCTGCTAATTCCAAATGCTGAAGAGCTGTCTAAGTACCACGAATGTACAAAATCTTTCAACTCTGTCCACATCTCTGCGTTAGCCAATGAGTTGCTTTCGAAACCAATAATGACAAGTTAAAGGAACAATAGTATATACAACATGCATACACATGAACATCCAAAAACATACTCACCTTTAAGACTGCATAGCATTAAAAAAAATGGTTTAGATAACATTATACCGAACGATTTCATTGAGAAAAAAAAACATGTTTGTAAACTAAGGCAATACAATACAATATTGCTAATACAGAGTTCCACACCACCCTTTAATTGTCAGAACAAACTAGACTGATTGCAAATTTTCGAATAATGAATTGTCATAGTTGACGAAATATAAATGTTATTTTCTTTCCAACGTAAGAGACTGTATGTAAAATGTTTCCACTTTATATTCTCTATAGTTAAGTACAGTTGTTTTTTTTTTTTTCTCCAAGTTGCATTGTTTTTCCGTAAAATAATGAACATACCTTTTGCCATTTGACAAACAAAGTGAGGAAAATTCGTTTTTTTTCAAAGAAAACGTAATATTATTATGAATATGTAATAAAACTTAAACTTTAAATAAAAATACCTCCCACTAATGTGTATCAAGAGTAAAATAAGCATATTACTTTCCAATCATCTGTTTTATTGATATGTTTAAAATTAAAGAAACAAGCAACAATCTCAGCCAAAGCAAACCTAATAGGATTTTTATTGTTTTCATATAAATATGTAAATGTCTTCTTTTTTAAGTTTTAACTAAAATAATGATACAATGTTAGTAATCGTGTCAAACCACCAATTCACCCCCCTCCAATTTATACCATATGTACAAGCAGTCATAATCATACAAAAAATAATGCATCTGATAGTGTTGTTCACTTAAACTATGTTAAGGGCAGTTGTCGTAGTGATTGTGGTTTGAAATTTTCAAATGCGTGTACGTTTCAGATATTCATCATGGGGACTGTGTGTTTATTTGTTTTCGAATACGAGTATGCTACAGGTATCTATTACAGGGACTGTTTTTTTCTGCTTTCTAATGCAGGTAAGTTGCCCCGTTAGTAGGTACAATGTTTTGCAGATTTCTAATACTGGGAATTTTAAGAATATTTGTTATAGGGAATGTGTGTTTCAATTTTCCAATACGGGTACGGTTCAGAGATTATTCATGCAGATCGTTTTCTAAAACGGATATGCTACAGGTATTTATTACAGGGACTGTTTTTATGCTTTCTATGCGGGTAAGTTACACTGTTATTAATAGCTACAGTTTTGTGTAGATTTTTAATACGGGTATGGTGCAGGTTAGAATACGAATACGTTTCAAATATATTTGATTTGGTGTAAAAAATTCTTTGGATGTTTTAGATAAATTACATGCTTTTGATGGTCCTTTTGATTCGGTTGACAGTTTTGACTTTTCCACTCTTTATACTACACTTCCACACAATATTATCAAACAAAATTTTTCCTGGATTGTTTTTGCATGTTTTTAATCCGGGTATTCTTCGTATAATTATCAAAGGTTCTGTGTTAAATGTTTTGTAATAAATGGAAACAACACGTTATAAATTTCATGCGTCCGAAGCGCTTTTCAGGATTTACCTTCATCAGGAAAGCTCAAAGGCGAGTATTTGAAAGCAAAGGATGTATAAGAACCGAAACAGTTGAAGAGCTATATGACCTAAAAAGGACCTAAAATAATAGCAAATTTCATTTGCCTGAGGGAGTTTAAACCTTTGATTCTCATAATCTAACAAAATTATTGAAAGGTTCGTTACCGAAGTACTGACTACTGAGCTGATGATACCCTCAGGGACTGATGGTCGTTCAGCAGCGGTATATTCCCAGTGCTATACAAAATGAAAACAACACGTTATAAATTTCATGCGTCCGAAGCACTTTTCTGGATTTACCTTCCTGGGAAACGCTAAAAGCCGAGTATTTGAAAGGCAAGGAAGTATAAAACCGAAACATTTAAAGAGCTATATGACCAAAAAAAAAAAACTTAATAAGAGTAATGGTTAGGGTATTCGTCACAAGGAGTGTGTTTTACAATTTTCAAAAACGAGTACGGTTCGGATCTTCTTAATGGGGACTATGTTTAGCTGTTTTCTAATACGCTATGCTATAGGTATTTATTACAGGGACTGGTTTTTTTTAATACGCGTAATTCACCCTGTTAGAAATAGGTAGTGTTTTGCAGATTTCTAATACGGGTACGGTCCAGATATTTTTTTGGGGTTCGGTTATGTTACAGATATTTATCATAGGTTCTGTGTTTTGAAGTTTTATAATACGAGGCTGTTACAAACTTTTATCAGGACTGATTTCCAAATTTCTAATACGTGTAGGGTACACGTGTTTGTCAAGAGGACTGTTTTGTGCAGATATTCAAACACGGATATGTTGCAGATTTTTGTCATAATGACAGTCTTTAACAGATTTCGGCCATTGATACTGTGATTTGATGTTTTCTAAACGGGTATGTTAAGGTTTCTCATAGGGATTGTGTTCTAATTTTCCAATACAGGTAAGTTTCATATGTCATAATGGAATTCTATGCGACTGTCATACAAGTGAGAGGTATAGCTAACTATAAAAACCAGGTTTAATCCACCATTTTCTACATAAGGAAATCCCTGTACCAAGTCAGGAATATGACAGTCGTTTTCCAATCGTTTGCTGTGTTTGAGCTTTTGGTTTTGCCATTTGATAAAAGGACTTTCTGTTTTGAATTTTCCTTGGATTTCGGTACTTTTTGTTATCTTACTTTTTATGACAAGAATAGCCATTGGGACTGTTTTTTTTTTTTAAGTTTTCTAATAGTAGGTATGTGAAGGGTATTTGTCATAGATTGTATGCTGAAATTTTCCAATACGTGTACGTTTTAGATATTCTTCATGTGGACTGTGTTAAGCTGTTTTCTAATACGGATATGCTGCAGGTATTTATTACAGGGACTGATTTTCAGATTTCTCATACGGGTAAATTACCCTGTCAGTAATAGGTACCATGTTCTGCAAATTTCTAACACATGTATGGTTCAGGTATGTGTCATTGAAGTTGTGCTTTTATATTATCAAATACGGGGTACGTTTCAGATATTTCTTATTTGGATTTTTTCTGCCGTCTTTTATCTGGGTATTTTACAGATATTTGTCATATATTCTGTGTTTTGAAGTTTTGTTATAAGGGTATGATACAAACTTTTAAAAGGACTTATTTTCTTAATTGTTAATACAGGTAGGCTACACGTGTTTGTCATTGAGGACTATTTTGTACTGTTATTCTATTAGTTATTTTACAGATTTTTCTCATAAAGACTGCCTTGTACAGATTTATTATATGGGTATGATGCAGATATTAGCAATTGGGACTGTTCTTTGAAGTTTTCTAATACTAGTATGTTAAGGGTATTTGTTTTAGGGATTGTATTGTACAATTTTCAAATATGGGTACGGTTCAGATATTCTTCATGGGGACTGTGTTTAGCTGTTTTCTAATACGGGTATGCTACAGGTATTAATAACAAGGACTGTATTTCAGCTTTTTAATACGGGTATATTAACATGTCAGTAATAGGTACTGGGTTTTACAGATTTCTTTTGTGAGTATGGTTCCGGTATTTGTCATTGCAATTGTGCTTTTAAATTTTGAATACGAGTACGTTTCAGATATTTTTGATTGGGATTGTTTATGCAGTTTTTTAATCTGGGTATATTACAGCTATTGTCATAGGTTCTGTGTTTTGAAGTTATGTAATAAAAGAATGTAACAACTTTCATAATGCCTGATTTTATAAATTTTTAAAATGGGTATGATGTGCAGATATTCTTATATGGATATTTTACAGACTTTTGTCATATTATGACAAAAGTCTGTAAAATATCCATATAAGAATATCTGCACATCATACCCATTTTAAAAATTTATAAAATCAGGCATTATGAAAGTTGTAACATTCTTTAAATGTCTTTAACAGATTTCCAATACAGGTATGTTACAGATATTTGCCTTTTGGGACTCAGTTTTGAATTTTTCTTATAACGGTATGACAAGGATATTTGTCATAGGGATTGTGTGTTGAAATACTCCAATACGGGTACGGTTCAGAAATTCTTCATGGGGACTGTGTTTTGCTGTTTTGTAATATGGATATGATACAAGTATTTATTACAGAGACTGTTTTCCTAATACGGGTAAGTAAACCTGATAGTAATAGGTTTAGTGTTTTTTTGCAAACAGGTATGTTTCAGATATTCTTCCCAAGGTTAGTGTTTTTCCTGTTTTCTAATACGTGTATACTACAGGTATTTATTAGATGGGTTGTTTTTCTGCTTTCAGACCATTAGACTGACCTAATCTCAAACTTTTAACAAATTGTTAATGGTGCCCCAAATGCCACCACAGCCAAAACAGCATATCCAAGTCTTGTTTTTTGACTCCATCAAGGTGAGACAAAAATTAACAAATATGGTATAGTTCAAGATATACTTACCACTACTGGATTGGAATTAAATGAAAACAGTGTATAAATAAATGAATTTAATTTTGGAAACTTTTCAACATATTGCACATAATATAGCACTGATTGTTTATCTATGTAATAAATTATCTTAATTATGACATCTAGAAGGGATACGAATGAATATATGTCATGTGTATGTTAAAACGAAATGTTCTGTTCAATAGTGAGCAATTACATATACTGCTCTAATTTCTGTTTTAAAGACAGGTTTTATTTTGTGCTCTTGTTAAGGGTCAGGACTGCTCAAACTCATGATGAATAATGTCTACACTTGCAATGATACAATAAAATGCATTTCTTAAATTTTAAACAGTTCTTATGCATTATCAAACAGTCACAGCTTGATATTCAAACACATTAATTGAAATTTGGTTTGGTAAGATTTATCAATAGTTATTCCCCAGCTTTAATGTATCTATCAGCAACAACACCACAACGGTCCACATGCAATATATATAATATGAATTATTTTGTGACACATAAAAAAGACATCCAATTTAAATGTTAAAAAGATACACCATCTCTGTAAGCATGTTTCTGGGTCAATTACATTGAACAACTAGACGTTTCCATTTTATCAATATAGAATTGCTCGTAAAACACAAGGTTTTTTTTCTTTCAAAACACAATTTGATTACAGTACATCAATATGTGAAGGAAACAATGCAAACAAATTTACATATAAAATCCAACAGAATGAGACATCAATACTATCAAAGGCAATACTCTTGTAACATAAGCTACTCTGTCAAAGACTTCACTCTTGTAACATGAGCTACTCTTTTACAAAAATTGACTTTAGGTCTTTGAACAACATTGAGCCTATAACCATCTTTTCACAATTAACTGTCACTTTAGCTGAGTCATCAGTCTTTTTGATACTAATTAATGTCAAAGTATTAGTAGCTACAGTCTGTGCAGCAAACTGGTAAAGTTGTGTACTTTGTGACGGGATTTGTATCACATTCGCAACTGTGTGTACACATTTACATATGCTGGTAGAATCACGTTTGTTTTCTGGAACTTTTACCATTCCTGAATTCTCATTCATTCCTCCAAGTTTACCTACAATAAAAATATAAACTATACACTGAAATGTTTTGTCTGCTGAAATACTGGAATAGCAATTCAACAATATAGTAATGAACTTTGAAATTAAGGACAAGGTCAAATTAAAGCACTGTATAAACTATAAATCAGTTGGAATGGCAAAACTCATCTGATCAGTTCAAAGCACATAAAAAAAAAATTACCACAAGACAAAAGACACAAAGTACCAATCTAAGAGAACTCCAAGAAACTGAAGCCAGTTCAACAGTACTCTGAGTTACTTAAAGCCAGTTCAAGAGTACTCCGAGTTACTAAGCCAGTTCAAGATTACTTCCAGTTACATAAAGCCAGTTCAAGAGTTCTCTGAATTACTGAAAGCCAGTTCAAGAGTACTCCTAGTTACTGAAAGATAGTTCAAGAGTACTCTGAGTAACTGAAAGCCAGTTCAAGAGTACTCCGAGTTACTGAATGCCAGTTCAAGAGAACTCCTAGTCACTGAAAGCCAGTTCAAAAGTACTACGAGTCACTGAAAGCCAGTTCAGGAGTACTCCGAGTTACTTTCATAGGGCCCTGTGGATATTCATACAATCCCCAGCTTATAACCCTAGGGGCAATAAACTGTTACTTGTATAGGGCCCTGTGGATTATCATACAATCCCGAGCTGATATCCCTAGGGGCAATAAACTGTTACTTGTATAGGTCCCTGTGGATTATCAGACAATCCCGAGCTGATAACCCTAGGGGCAATAAACTGTTACTTGTATAGTGCCCTGTGGATAATCATACAATCCCGAGCTGATAACCCTAGGGGCAATAAACTGTTACTTGTATAGGGCCCTGTGGATTATCATACAATCCCTAGGGGCAATAAACTGTTACTTGTATAGGGCCCTGTGGATTATTATACAATCCTGAGCTGATATCCCTAGGGGCAATAAACTGTTACTTGTATAGGGCCCTGTGGATTATTATACAATCCTGAGCTGATATCCCTAGGGGCAATAAACTGTTACTTGTGTCGAGCCAAGTGGATTATCATACAATCCCGTGGAGGTTTTATAACAAGAATCACAATAAACATTCTGTAACTTGCAACAAAAAATCCAATATCTAACAAAAGGGCGTTGATAATTTTGTCGAATATTCGTACATTTTCATTTTTTTTTAAATTCTTGACGTAAATCCAAGAATACACTTGGGTCAAGGACCTTTTAGAAGATATAATGACTTGAAAATATGACCATTGCCAGACATTAAAATTCTGTTTAATACAAACTGTATACCATGGGGTAGCTAGTAATATATTATATTCTGTTTAATACAAACTTTATAACTTGTGTGAGTAAATTTTCACTTTCTTTTATATAGACTTCTTACCTTGTTGTGAAGTAAATTCTCCTTCACTCATTGTATGAGGCTGTAAGAGTTCTCCAACAGGTGCTGTAATGCTAACATTAAATTTTTGGTCCATAGTACATAAGTCAAATTTGGCAGGTTGTGTTGTGTCGTTAAAGTTTATAGAAAAAACAGCAGTTGTTGTAGCTCCATCCCCTAGTGAATCTGTAAACAAGATTATAATGTTACTGGTTCTGATTTATAACAAGTTTGTACCCCAACTTTACAGTATTCTGTAAGAAGGAAGTTGAAGAGAAATGAATATAAAAATCCTTCACACAATATTTCAAGGTGCTCTGATTTGTAGTTTCCATGAAAATTTGAAAAAAAATTCATCAATTGTGATTATGTGTAAGAATATATAAGTATTAGGTACACAGGAAGTTGATGAGCAATGCACTGTCATTATGTGTAAGAATATATAAGTATTAGGTACACAGGAAGTTGATGAGCAATGCACTGTCATTATGTGTAAGAATATATAAGTATTAGGTACACAGGAAGTTGATTAGCAATAAATGTAAATATGCATCACAACCCTGATAACAAATTTCAGAAAATTATAGAAAGCTCTGACTTGTAGTTCCCAAGAAAGATTTGATTAAAATTTCATACATTGATATTATGTGTAAGAATATAGAAGTATTAGGTACAAATGAAGTATTCTGAAAAGATGAAGTTGATGAACCATGCATGTGAAAATGCATCACACACAATAGCATGCTCACATCAAACCTGGTTTCAAATTTAAGGAAGCTCTAGTTTGTAATTCCAGAGAAAAATGCAACAGATTTTCATGGGACAGTTGGACAGTCAGGGGTAAAACAGAATACCCCACCTCCAGAGTACAGGTGTAACTATATTAACAACTGTAACCTTGCGTTAGCAAATATAGTTCTTTGTTTTAAACAAATGAACTGTAAAACATGTCTTTTAATCAATGATAGATAGTTATTTAATCACAACACATCATCTCATAAATATATCTGTAGAAACTTGTCTGCTGAATAAAAGTTGTATAAATTTAAAAGTAATAAGATATATACAATGTACAAACCTATTTCAGGGAAATCTTGTATTTCCATCCCAGGCTGGAGTTTCTGGAATATAAGGATAGAGAGGTATGAATGATTTCAAATTCTTGGAAAGTAGCTTTTCTTTCCTTATCATTACTTGGTTTTCTTATATCATTGTTCTGGTTTATTGCAAAGTACATGTAGGTTAAACAGATATTTTACAAATACTCAAAATTTGACCTTTTACAAATGAAAATAAAATTATCATGTAAACCTTTGGATTTAAATCTTATAAATTTCCTGTCTGAATATAAAATTTGCATTATCCTTATTTATATACTCACTTTGTCACCGATTTTGATGGCAGATATTGCATCATCTTTATTATTAGTAAACACTAGTTCTATAGACACCATTTTTGGAGAAAAGACAGATATAGTCCTTGTAAACTTATATGATACACATAATCCATTTCCTGATATCTTGTTCAGTAACTCATAAGTTTTTGGTACAATCTGGGTAGGCTGTACAAACTGAAACAAAAGAGATTAAATGTACAATCTGGGTAGGCTGTACAAACTGAAACAAAAGAGATTAAATGTACAATCTGGAAGGCTGGACAAGCAAAATTTGCAGTACATTTCACTAAAAATAAATTCACTCTATTACATATGTAGATTACATGCATATAATAAAATGCTCTGCTGGGCGCAGCTTGATACGACCGCAGAGGTCGAACCCTGAACAGTTGGGGCAAGTATGGACACAACATTGAAGCTTGATACAGCACTGAATTTGGATTGTGATTAAATATTTGACACAACATAGGTTTCTGACACAGAATGAATGTGGTCTAAGAACTTAATTTTTTTTAATTTACCTATTCAAACCATATCATTGTTATTTGCTTTTATATATAAATCAGAAATAACCAATTTAAAATTGAAAATTTTAAATAAAAAAAAATCCCTCCCCCAAATTTTTTGAATCCCCTTATGATTCATCACCCCAAAACTCAATCCAAGCCTTCCCTTTGTGGTATGGTACCTTGCAGTACAATTTCAGAGAGATCCATACACTTGAACACAAGTTATTGTCTGGAATCTAGAAAAATGCTTGTTTTTAGGCCTCTTTTTGGCCCCAAATTCCTAAACGTTTAGGGCAATTACCCCCAAACTCAAACCCAGCTTGTTTTTTTCCCCTTCTTTGGCCCCTAATTCCTAAAATTTTGAGGCAATTACCCCCAAAATCAATCCCAGCATTCCCTTTGTGATATGGAACCTTGTGGTACAATGTCAGAGAGATCCATACACTAACACACAAGTTATGTCTGGAAGTTACAAAAATGCTTATTTTTGGCCCCTTTTTGGCCCCTAATTCCTTAACTGTTGGTACTATAACCCCCAAAATCAATCCCAACCTTCCTTTAGTGGTACTGAACCTTATGGTAAAATTTCATAGAGATCCATTAACTTAAAGTTAGAGTGCGAAAACCAATGTGTCTTCGGACAACGACAGACGACGACGTAAACGACGACAACGATGACGACGCCAACGTCATACCAATATACGACTGCAAAATTTTTTTGCAGTCGTATAAAAACCATTGAACAAATATCACCTAACATTTACAACTACATAACCTCAATTTAACTGTGAAACTTTTATAACAACACCAGTGGTCCATACAGATATACACAAAAAAGGATAAAAGGACAAAAGGTAACAGTTAATGTCCCAAGCTAAATATGACAGCTTTATTGTGTTACTAACAGCTTGTCCCAAGCTAAATAGGACAGCTTTATTGTGTAGCTAACAACTTGTCCCAAGCTAAATATGACAGCTTTTTATTGTGTAGCTAACAACTTGTCCTAAGATAAATATGACAGCTTTATTGTGTTACTAACCACTTGTCCAAGCTAAATATGACAGCTTTATTGTGTTACTAACAACTTGTCCCAAGCCAGACATGACAGCTTTATTGTGTAGTTAACAACTCGTCCCAAATTTAATATGACAGCTTTATTGTGTTACTAACAACTTGTCCCAAACCAGACATGACAGCTTTATTGTGTAACCACAACTTGTCCCAAGCCAGATATGACAGCTTTATTGTGTTACTATCAACTTGTCCCAAGCCAGACATGACAGCTTTTTTGTGTTACTAACAACTTGTCCCAAGCTAAATATGACAGCTTTATTGTGTTACTAACATCTTGTCCCAAGCTAAATATGACAGCTTTATTGTGTTACTAACAATTTGTCCCAAGCTAAATATGACAGCTTAATTGTGTTAATAACAACTTGTCCTAAACTAAATATGACAGCTTTATTGTGTTACTATCAACTTGTTCTAAGCTAAATATGACAGCTTTATTGTGTTACTAACAATTTGTCCTAAGCTAAATATGACAGCTTTATTGTGTAGCTAACAACTTGTCCCAAGCTAAATATGACAGCTTTATTGTGTTACTAGCATCTTTATCAGATAAAAACCTTTATCGAAAGGACAACTATTTTTATGAATAAATAATATTTGTTTATTTTGTTTCAAATTATTCAACAATTAAAAACTTAATGTACATGATGTATATTAAAATATTTTATGCCGGTTATTTATTATTTGACCATTTTAAAAAACTGATCAAAATTAAATACATGCAAATTCATCAGCAATATCAAAATTTGTGAAAAAAATAGGTACATGTGCCAATTAGAGGCTCTAAAAGCCTGTGTCGCTCACCTTGGTCTATGTGAATATTCAACAAAGGACACTCTCCAACATTGTAGATGAGAATAGAATTCATGACAAAAATCTCTGTTTGGTTAATCTTGTATTGCTGATCATTCAGTCTGTTTAGTTTCTCTCTATCTTCTTTAGTTTTTGCTCAAAACACAAAAGAGGGCAAAAAAATCCTCATTTAAGGGCAATCACATGCACTCCTATAAAGAGTGACAGTCTACTAACCATATCGGCAAAATTTGACTTGTTAGATTTTGCCTTGCTGATCACATTTGTGATTTAAAGTGTCTTTTTATCTATTATATTTTTTTATCATATCAGGCAAAAAGAAAAATAAAATGTTGACACAGAGATATGTCTTGCTTTTTGGCATATAAGTCAGAAAAAGACAATTTGATGGACAGCAACATGGTTTATCAATTCAGTCACTGGACCATGAACTAGTGGGCAGGGCTGAAAATAATTGTCAAACTGATATGTATTGATAGTTATGCAACTTTATACAAAATATCATTAATCTATCACAAGTATTTCTTATCAAACTGACTTAAGCAGAAAGTTTAACATTGAAAACTGCTAAATAATTCAAAGTCACTGGACTGTGACTTAGGGAGCAGGGCCTCAAAAAAATTGTCAAACTGATATGAACTGATAGTAATGCAACTTCATACAACATATCATTGATCTATCACAAGTTATTCTTTTCAAACTAACTTAAGCATAAAACGTAACATTGAAAATTGCTAATTAAATCAAAGTCACTGGACCATGGCCTAGGGAGCAGGGCCTCAAAATAGTCCTCAAACTGATATGAACAGATAGTAATGTGACTTCATACAAAATATCATTGATCTATCACAAGTAGATCCTTTCAAAATAACTTAAGCAGAAAACTTAACATTGAAAATTGCTAATTAATTCAAAGTCATTGGACCATGACCTAGCCAGCAGGGCCTCAAAATAGTCATCAAACTGTATATGTATTGACAGAAATGCAACTTTCTATTAAATATCAATGATCTATCACAAGAAGGAAGTTCCTATCAAACTAACTTAAGCAGAAAACTTAACATTGAAAATTGCTAATTGATTAAAAGTCGCTGGACCATGTCCTAGGGAGCATGGCCTCGAAATAGTCGTCAAATTAATATGTATCGATAGTAATCCAACTTTATATTAAATATCAATGATCTATCACAAGTAGTTCCTATCAAACTAACTTAAGCAGAAAACTTAACAATTGTTGACGCCTTTGGCGCAGCTGTCACGACAGCTGTCACAGGAAAAGCAATTCCTATGTCTTGCTTTCCACGACTTTTGTCGCAGGCGAGACAAAAAATGGTAAAACTCGTCATTAAAGGGCAATAACTCCAATAAGGAATCGTCAAATGATTTCCTCCATATGCTCTTTATTGTAGATCTTGTCTTGCTGATCAATTTTGCTTATTTAAGTTTCTATCTATCTATTATAATTTTTAAGATATAAGGCAAAAACGCAAAAAATTGGTGAAAATCATCATCAAAGGGCAATAACCCTAATAAGAAGTCAACTGACGAATTTGACCATGATGAGTTATTTGTAGATCTTGTCTTGTTGATCATTTTTGCTCATTTAAGTTTCTATTTATCTATTATAATTTTTAAAAAAAATAAGGCAAAAACGCAAAAATTAGGTAATAAGAGTGCACACGTGAAATGTCTTGCCTGCTTTACTGACCATGGATTTTATGTTGATAGTCCTAAATATAAAGTTTTACTACAAGTATGAAATAAACTTAACATGATCTAGGAAAATGAGGTCAAGGTCAGATAAACCAAGCCAGAAATACTTGTACACCTTTCAATCATTTAATTCACTGAATATAATGAACTTATTGCTTTTAGTATACAAGAAACAGACCAAACCCTGAAAACTTCATATTAACAAATGAACCATGAAAATGAGGTCAAGGTCAGATGAACCCTGCCAGACAAACATGTTTACCTTTCAATCATTCCATGCATCACATATAAGTGGCCTATTGCATATAGTATCTACGAAACAAACTTAACCAGGAAAACTTAACATTGACCAATGAACCATGAAAATGAGGTCAAGGTCAGATGATACCTGCCAGACAGACATACACATCTTACAATCATTCCATACACAAATTAAAGTTGACCTATTGCTTAAAGTTTAAGAAAAACAGACAAAAACACAAAAACTTAACATTGAGCAATGAACTGTGAAAATGAGGTCAAGGTCATAGAAACCTGCCAGACGGACATGTACATCGTAAAATATTGCCATACACCAAATACAGTTGACCTATTGCATACAGAATTAGAAAAACAGACCATAACACAAAAACTTAACTTTAACCACTTAACCATGAAAATGAGGTCAAGGTCAGATGACACCTGCCAGTTGGACATGTACACCTTACAATCATTCCATATACCAAATATAGCAGACCTATTGCTTATAGTATCTGAGATATGGACTTGACCAAAAAAACTTAACCTTGTTCACTGATCCATGAAATGAGGTCGAGGTCAAGTGAAAACTGTCTGACAGGCATGAGGACCTGGCAAGGTACGCACATACCAAATATAGTTATCCTATTACTCATAATAAGAGAAAAATTAACATTACAAAAAATATTTTCTTTTCTTTTCGAGTAGTCACTGAACCATGAAAATGAGGTCAAGGACAATGAACATATGACAGATGGAAACTTCATAACATAAGGCATCTATATACAAAGTATGAAGCATCCAGGTCTTCTACCTTCTTAAATATTAAGTTTTGAGGCTGCTGCCGCCAACACCGGATCACTATCCCTGTCTCGCTTTCTGTGAAAGAAGTCGCAGGCTCGAAAAAAATCATCATCAAAGGGCAATAACTCTAAGGAGTCGACTGACAATTTCGACCAGGTAGACTTATTTGTAAAACTTGTCTTGCTGATCATTTTTGCTTATTTAAGTTTCTATCTATCTATTATAATTTTAAAGATATAAGACAAAAACACAAATAATTGGTAACAAGAATGTGTCCATATTACACGGATCCCCCACTCGCATTATCATTTTCTATGTTCAGTGGACTGTGAAATTGGGGTCAAAACTCTAATTTGATATTAAAATTAGAAAGATCATATCATAGGGAACATGTGTACTAAGTTTCAAGTTGATTGGACTTCAACTACCTTGACCAAAAACTTTAACCTGAAGTGGGACAGACGGATGGACTGACGGATGGACAGACTAACAATTGGACTACTATCGTAGGTGGAGCATGAAAAACATCATCAAAGGGCAATAACTCTAAAAAGGAGTCGATTGACTATTTGTCTTGCTGATCATTTTTGCATTTTAAAGTTTCTATCATAGTTTTCAAGATAATAGGAAAAACTGAAAAAAAAAGGTAAAATTTGTCATTTAAGGACATTAACTCTTGAGCCCCCCCCCCCCCTCTAAGGAGCTTCATTTATGATTAATCCATACTTTTTACCTGTGCCACTACAAATTTTGTCTAGTTTGGGGGCCCATGGGCCCCTTTTTTTCAAAATCCTGGATCCGCATCTGAAAAGTACATATAAAAACATAATTAATTTGTACAAAACTTACGTTCATACTACTAGTTGCTGACATTCCTTTATCACTAATAGACATATTACTTAGGCTACCAGCCATACTGGGTGTCAACATGTCCCCTGGTGTTCCTGTTGAACTGGTCAATGCCCCATTAGGTCCAACTGTCAACATGGTAAACACTATATTACTCATAATATTTTAATACAAGATACATATAACAGTAAATATAAAATAGTTGACATGATACACTTCATTAACAGTTGGTGCTCTCAATACAAAAGTCCCTATTTTTGTGTAATAATTATTCAAATTTGTTTAAATAGGCAGTACTGACATGATTGTACAGATTAAAAGAACAGAGTTCCGAGTTCCAATGTCCCCCGCGTTGCACATATTTTTTCTATCCAAGGAACTAGGGCAATAACTAAAAAAAAACTTTTTTTTTTGTTCTTTAAAACAATTTATAAATATCTTAGAGAAATGAAGGCTTCAGAGCAAATGCAATGCAATTTCCTTTATAATTAATTTTTCCAAGGGACATAACGCATTAAAAATGTTTGATTGGCACTGATTTACAAACTCATCAAAATCATCGATGATATAACCTATAATATAAATTTCATAAAAATCTGGCAAGAATTGTACACATGAGAGCCCTAACAATGCAATTTTCCATATGATCAATATTTCAAAGGGACATAACTCTTTTAAAAAAAATTGATCAGCACTGATTTTCAAATTTGTCTGAGATATTGATGATATAAACCTATAATATAAATTTCATAAAAATCTCGTAAGAATTGTACACACAAGAGTGCTAACAATGCAATTTTCCATATAATCAATATTTCCAAGGGGCATAACTCTTTTTAAAAAATAATTGATCGGCACTGATTTTCAAACTCTTTAAAGACATTCCTGATATAAATTTATGATATAAGTTTCATAAAAATCTGGCAGGAACTGTACACATGATAGCGCTCACAAGACCTGATGGACAGACAGCTGATGTACAGTGTTTCTATGTCCCCCCATAGTGCTGCGCCGGGGACAAAAAGCCAAGGGAAATACAAAACAAAATAGTTTACAGAAAATAAATTCTGATGCTAAAAGGAGGATCACAGAAATAATGTGTAACACAAAGGAAATCATTGTAAGAGAGTGAAAACTCATAGCCAGTTCAAAAGAACCTCTCAAAAAACTCACAGCACTTAAAAACAACCTTTCACAAAACTCACAGCTACTTAAAAACAACCTCTCACAAAACTCAAAACCACCAAAAAAAACAACCTCTCACAAAACTCACAGCCACTTAAAAATAACCAAACACAAAACCCTCACAGCCACTTAAAAATAACCAAACACAAAACCCACAGCCACTTAAAAATATCCTCTCACAAAACTCAAAGCTACATAAAAATAACCTCTCACAAAACTCACAGCCACTTAAAAACAACCTTTCACAAAACTCACAGCTACTAAAAACAACCTCTCACAAAACCCACAGCCACTTTAAAACAACCTCTCACAAAACTCACAGCTACATAAAAAATAACCTCTCACAAAACTCACAGCCACTTAAAAACAACCTTTCACAAAACTCACAGCTACTAAAATAACCTCTCACAAAACTCACAACCACATAAAAACAACCTATCACAAAACTCACAGCTTCTTAAAAACCTCTCACAAAACTCACAACCACTAAAAAACAACCTCTCACAAAACTCAAAATCACTTAAAAACAACCTCTCACAAAACTCACAGCTACATAAAAATAACCTCTCACAAAACTCACAGCCACTAAAAAAACAACCTTTCACAAAACTCACAGCTACTTAAAACCAACCTCTCACAAAACTCACAACCATTTAAAAAAACATATCACAAAACTCACAGCTACTTAAAAACCTCTCACAAAACTCACAACCACTAAAAAACAACCTCTCACAAAACTCACAATCACTTGAAAACAACCTATCACAAAACTCACAGCTACCTAAAAACTACCTCTCACAAAATTCACAACCACTTAAAAACAAACTATCACAAAACTCACAGCTACATAAAAACAACCTCTCACAAAACTCACAACCACTAAAAAACAACCACTCACAAAACTCACAGCCACTTAAAAACAACCTTTCACAAAAACTCACAGCTACTTAAAAATAACCTCTCACAAAACTCACAACCACTAAAAAACATCCTCTCATAAAACTCACAGCCACTTAAAAATAACCTAACACAAAACCCACAGCCACTTAAAAACAACCTCTAACAAAACTCACAACTACATAAAAACAACCTCTCACAAAACTCACAACCACTTAATAACAACCTATCACAAAACTCACAGCTACTTAAAAATAACCTTTCACAAAACTCACAGCCACTTAAAAACAACCTCTCATAAAACTCACAGCTACTTAAAAATAACCTCTCACACGACTCACAACCACTAAAAAACAACCTCTCACAAAACTCACAGCCACTTAAAAATAACTTAACACAAAACCAGCAGCCACTTAAAAACAACCTTTCACAAAACTCACAATCACTTAAAAACAACCTATCACAAAACTCACAGCTACTTAAAAACAACCTCTTACAAAACTCACAACCGCTAAAAAACACCTTCTCACAAAACTCACAGCCACTTAAAAACAACCTTTCACAAAACTCACAGCTACTTAAAAAACAACCTCTCACAACCACTAAAAAACAACCTCTCACAAAACTCACAGCCACTTAAAAATAACCTAACACAAAACCCACAGCTACTTAAAAATAACCTTTCATAAAACTCACAGCCACTAAAAAAACAACCTATCATAAAACTCACAGCTACTTAAAAACAATCTCTCACAAAACTCAAAGCCACTTAAAAATAATCTCTCACAAAACTCACAGCTACATAAAAACAACCTCTCACAAAACTCACAACCACTTAAAAACAACCTATCACAAAACTCACAGCTACTTAAAAATAACCTTTCACAAAACTCACAGCCACTTAAAAACAACCTCTCATAAAACTCACAGCTACTTAAAAACAATCTCTCACAAAACTCAAAGCCACTTAAAAATAACCTCTCACAAAACTCACAGCCACTTAAAAATAAACTCTAACGAAACTCACAGCTAGTTCAAAATAACCTCTCACAAAACTCACAGCCAAGTTCAAAAGGACACAGAGATTTGTATCACCTTTATGTAATTTTGATAGTACATGTGTATAATGCTAATGTTGAAATCAAAATGGCAATACTTTAACATGTATAAAACTATGCAAATCTTCATGGTCAATGAACCATGACTGGAGGCCTAGGATCAAAATCTCTCCGTGGAAATGAGAAATGCCAATACAAACACAACTATTACTGCATACTAAATACTAAATAGACTTTAATCGTAAGTGGTTCCATATAAACTGAATTTAACACAAACTTTAATATGTAAACTTAGCAGAAGTTTCAAAGTCAATAGACTGAGAGGACAGGGGCCAAATTATTTTGTGATTATCTGCTAATGCCAAAGTTTTACTTTTTATACTTGAATGAGGCTAGACAAGAACTCTCACAGCATGTTCAAAATAACCCTCATAAAAAACACAAGTTACAGTCATATGATACTTCAGTTTTAAAAAATAAATAGAGAATGTGTCCATGGGACACAGATGATGCCCCCCTTGCATATAACATTATAAAGGGACATGAAGCAGCACTTATTATTACTTCGATGAGACTTATGTACTAAATTAACCTACATGCATCATCTAAATCTAACAGTAAATCTTCTTTCTTCTTAGAAATCTCTTTTTCTTTTGTCTTTGGTTGTTTCTGAAGTAACAAGTAAAAGAACAATGATTGGGCTCCTGAAATTACATAAATCCTTTCAAAACTAAATTAATTCTATAAAAAAAATAATATGGCAAATAGTGTAACCACTTCAAAGCAGCAATGTCACTTGTCAAGTTACTTGGTAAAGCTGTTGCAGGAAGATCTCAAAATAAAGTTTTTTCGGAAACTGCTTTTCACAAATGCAAGAAATTGCAAGGCCTAAAATAAATATGCAAGATTGATGGCTGCTTGATCATGTTAATTTCCACACCAAATAGTACATCATGTAATATAAAAAACACATGTGAATGATATATGAATATACTATGCTTTGTTAACATGCTAGTTTGCAAGGTATCATTTCTGAGGAAAACACGTAACCAACCCTCCACTCCAAGCTTTGTTAACATGCTAGTTCACAAGGTATTATTTCTGAGGAAGACAAGTAACCAACCCTCCACCCCAAGCTTTGTTAACATGCTGGTTCACAAGGTATCATTTCTGAGGAAGACATGTAACCAACCCTCCACTCCAAGCTCTGTTTACATGCTGGTTCACAAGGTATCATTTCTGAGGAAGAGACGTAACCAACCCTCCACTCCAAGCTTTGTTAACATGCTGGTTCACAAGGTATCATTTCTGCGGAAGACATGTAACCAACCCTCCACTCCAAGCTTTGTTAACATGCTGGTTCACAAGGTATTATTTCTGAGGAAGACACATACCCAACCATACACTTCAAAACCAACTACAGCTGTCCGCAAAGCGACTTAAACCCCCCAACTTAGCATTGAGAGAATGACATTTTGAGATATTTATCTTTCAGCTTAAGAGTTCAAGGGTCAAGGTGACCTGATTTTGATATTTGACACATCCCAATCCCATGATGTTTCTGCATACAAAGTTTTGTCAATCTAAGTGCTATGGAACAAAAGTTATGCACAGAACACAAATCAGACAATGTTTTAGTATCATAGGGGTCAAAGGTCAAAGTCAAGGTCAGAGTGACCTGACTTTGGTATATAATTCACCTCCTCCCATTATACAAAGTTTTCCCAACCTAAGCTCTATGGTACAAAAGTTATGTGCAAGACACAAATCAGGTAATGTTTTACTATCATAGGGGTCAAAGTTAAGGCCAGAGTGACCTGACTTTTATACATTACACACTACCATTCCATGATGCATCAGCATGCAGATTTTGTAAAGCTATGCATTCTTTTTTTCTCACTTAAGCTAAAGAAAATGGAATAAATGAAAAGAATGGAAATAAAATTATTTTTGTGGATTTCCAATGGAAAAAGGATGTAAAAAATAATCTAGACAAGGCATTTACCTTTGGCTGGGGTTTATACTTTGGTTTGACTTCCTCCTCACTTTCATCGCTATCCTCCACTGAACTATCCTCATCATCAGAATCTTCATCCAAGGATTCATCACTTTCTACAGGGCGTTTAACTTTAACTTCTTCCTTTTTCTTTCCAGTAAATTTAGCCAGTTTTTCATCTAAATCTGAATCTTCCTCTTCACTCTCTTCTTCTGATGATGACTTTTCATCTGAACTTTCATCTACATCTTCATTGTCACTTTCTGCTTCATCATCACTTTCTTCATCACTATCCTCATCCTCACTCGATTCTGTTTCATCTGTAGTAAATCAAATGAAGTTAAGATAATACATCAAATAAACAATACTTTATTTATGAGAAGCAAATCATAGTTAGAGTAATGTATCAGAAAATGATTGGGGAATGTGTCCATGGAACACAGATGATGCCCCCGCTTGCATATTACATTATAAAGGGACATAACTCAAGAACGGTAAAAGTGACGCTACCCAAATTTGAACTTAGCTGAGTTTTGTGGTAATAAACATTGTGTATAAGTTTCATAACATTTGGTTGAGGCAAACTTAAGTTAGAGAAAGGAAACAAAAAATTCAGCAATTTTCCATTTGTAAAGGGGCATAACTCTAAAGCGGTAAAAGTGACCACCAAAATTCAATCTTGAACTGTGTTTACATACCAACTGAACTAGACTCATCAGAATAAAAAGATTTTTCTTTCTTGACTACTTTCTTTCTATCTCTGACTTTAGGTTTGGATGGTTCATCAAACAGACTTGGTAGTTCCATGTTTCTAACAGAGGAATCTGGAGCTACTTCAGGCCAGTCTGGTAATTCTTGGTAGCCTGTAGCTCTGGTGTTCAGTATGTGGGACAGGGTACCCAGTTGAAACTGTTCACGATCTGAAAAAGTCCAATTAAAAGGTAAAAATATGACTATTGTGATTTCATGAATACCTGCATACAGATGATGTATCAGATATCAGAGTTCTTATCATTGCTATTCTCATCCAGTTGCATTATTCACAATAATTTCTGAATTTATAGTATCGGTATATCAGTCAGGGGAATTACTGAAATAAGTGATGTAAAACTCACTTATTTAAGTAGCAAATTCGAAATTTTGTCACAAATTGTGATTTTGTAGTTTTACCAAAATTTTAAACATATAGCGATAGGTTTAGATTATATGGGTCATTTTCAAAAAATGTTGAATTTTGAAATTTTGAAATTGATTTAAAGTTACTTATTCAAACATCCCTCATCATAATCAAATCAAAACAAACAGTACTTATAGAACAACATATAAAAAGATGCAATCTTGATAATGTCATACAAGAATATATTGAAACAATTTTTGATGGGTAGTGCAATATTTTGTCTCTCCTGTTACCATGTTCCATAGAAATTAAGGGTTATTTAGAAAAGGTTTTGATAAAATTTTAAGCTTGTTTTTCGTAGCCAATAAGATGGTTTTCAAGAGTAAAAACTTCTATATATATTCATTCTGTGAATAATAGATTATTTGCCAATCTTCCATGTTGTACTGAAAAATGCCTATAAAAATTGGTTTTCAAAGGTTATAAAAATAACCACCAGTAATGAAAGTCTAAGGTAGCAATTCATAATGTTCAGCATTTTTTCTCTCTTTCAAATAAACCCAACATCAAGGAAATCTCTCGCACGTTGGTTTACTTTTGTCTTTATTCTATTGGTAACAGGAACGTATGTTAATGATATATCACTATATTAAGTTCTATCCTGTTACCTTTTTGTCTATCCTGTTACCGATAGCAGTATTGCACATGCAAATGCTAAATTGCAAATATTAAGACGTTATAACCTTTAGATGAGTTCAAACAATGAAACATTTCCTTATGTGTGCAACTATATGTTATTATAAACTTTTTAAAGACGTTTCTATCTACTAATGTCTATCCTGTTACTGTAACCATAGCAACCATAGTAACAGGATAGACATAACAGGATAGACACAAATTTCTTCATTTTTGAATGCTGTTGTGAAATAACTACTCCCTATGATGAAGTGATAATGTTTTTCTGTTGTGATTTTGGTTTCCAACACGTTATTGCACTTTTTGTAAGTATAATATTGGAGTAATTAATCAATATGTTGGTAACAGCATAGACATGACAAAAAAGTACCCATTGTTTTTTTTCACTAAATATCTTGAAATTTTTTTTCTCTACACTGTTATACAAGAAACGTGCTGTGTTAAATTTTAGGTTACTTTGCGCTTTTGAAATCAACACTAATCAGTTCAATATTCATATGGAGAAAAATTTAACGGCTGATTAAAGTAGCGGTAACAGGATGGACATGAACTTCATGTACGCTGATTGAATATAGTTTGTAGAAAAAATGTTACATATAATAATAAAGACGCTGCGATTTTTCGTTAAGAGTTATTATTTACGTTCTAAAAAAGTCCCTTTTGCAGATATCAAGGCCATCAGAAAATAGGAAAAAAATCATTCAAAATGTGTTACTCGGACACTGTACACACATAAATTACGCCAAAATCGGACTTAAATGTATTTTAATCTTATCAAAATAGATCTAAGTCGTGTTTATTATTAATGTTCTGACTCATAAATCCTACAAACTTTCATTTAAACACTTACAACTGCATTTTCCATTAGAAATAAAAACAAGAGTGCACACGCTGAAATGTCTCGCCTACTGTACTGACCATTGATTTTATGTTGATAGTCCTACATATAAAGTTTTACTACAAGTATCACATTAACATTTATGGTCCAAGAAAATGAGGTCAAGGTCAGATAAACCAAGCCGGATATACATGTATACCTTTAATACAATCCCTCCATACACATAATATAGATGACCTATTGCTTATAGTATAAAAGAAACAGACCAAACCATGGAAATTCTATATTGACCAATGAACCATGAAAATGAAGTCAAGGTCATTTGAACCCTGCCAGACAGACATGTACACATTAAAATCATTCCAAATATAGTTGACCTATTGCTTAAGGTATCTAAGAAAAAAGTTAACCAGGAAAACTGAACATTGACCAATCAACCATGAAAATGAGGTAAAGGTCAGATGATACCTGCCAGACAGACATATACACAAATAAAAAACATGAATGCCTTTTACATAATCTACAAAATGCAAATTCAGAACTGGCAAGAGGCATAATCATTGAATTTTGATTATAGGAAAACAGAGAAGAACCAACCCATGCATCCCTACTCAAAAGAGAATCACAAAGAAAAGTTGATATTAGTTGAGAATTAAAGAAGTAGTTTATCAGTCGACTGTTAACTGCATAGCTTCTAAATACATACAATACCCAGGGTTTCCTGATTCTCTAAATACATACAATACACAGAGTTTCCTGATTCTCTAAATACATACCATACCCAGGGTTTCCTGATTCTCTAAATACATACCATACCCAGAGCTTCCTGATTCTCTAAATACATACAAAACCTAGAGTTTCCTGATACTCTAAATACATACAATACCCAGAGCTTCCTGATTCTCTAAATACATACAATACCCAGAGTTTCCTGATTCTCTAAATACATACCATACCCAGGGTTTCCTGATTCTCTAAATACATACCATACCCAGAGCTTCCTGATTCTCTAAATACATACAATACCCAGAGTTTCCTGATTCTCTAAATACATACCATACCCAGGGTTTCCTGATACTCTAAATACATACCATACCCAGGGTTTCCTGATTCTCTAAATACATACAATACCCAGAGTTTCCTGATTCTCTAAATACATACCATACCCAGAGTTTCCTGATTCTCTAAATACATACCATACCCAGAGTTTCCTGATTCTCTAAATACATACAATACACAGAGTTTCCTGATATTCTAAATACATACAATACCCCGAGTTTCCTGATATTCTAAATACATACAATACCCAGAGATTCCTGATTCTCTAAATACATACCATACCCAGAGTTTCCTGATACCTCTGCATTATTTGTTCATCAAGTGAAATCTTTTGTTCTATTCTTAAAAATACAAGGCAAAAGTAGAGCTATGAGGTATTGCTCACTAATGATACCTCTCTTTAAGTATTCTGTAAATGACAACACACAACACTGCAAAGCATGTTCACAATAGAAAGTTTTAGGAAGCTCTTATTTGTATTATGTAGAAAAATGTGACAGAAAATTCATACATGGCCAGTATTTGTTTGAAAGATGTATTAATATTCTGTATACAGGAAGTTGATGAGTGATGAAACTATGTCACAGTGAACATATAGTATGCTGCAGTGATCGGGAAGGACGTGCGCCATGGGCCAATTGCGCTTTTCGACCATAAATGGTGCATAGGGTGACAAATGTAAGCGCCCAACTGGCGCACGATATTTTTCACTTTGTTTTTAAACTTTAGATATCGTAAAATGGATTTCCGATCGTGAATCGTGTCGCCATGTGTGTGTACAAAACTGTGTAGTGTTCCCTCCAATGATAGGAGCACCACCTATTGATTTTTGGGACGTCTCGGGCCTTTTTCTATGGTTATAATAGCAACATGCGTTATAACTGATTACCCAAAATACGTAATAAACCATCATTCATGATATAAATTTTTATATACAACTTTAAATTTGTGAAATTTGGCTAGTACAGTCGAAAATTTTTCTCTTATTATAATCTTTTAAGTAAGCTTGCTATTATTTCGATTGAAAAACCTAAAAGCCTTTTTATGAATGTAGTATTTGTTTCCATAAAAGGTGCTTAACTGTCCTTGTCAATTTTTTGGTCTTTGGCTCGTTTGAACATTTTGTAAACATGCCTTCAGCGAATTGTTGTTGTGTCTTATCAATTAACGTTACTCTCTACTGTTATTCTTGTCATCACGATGAAGTAATAATAATACAAGAAGTGCAGAGGAAATGCCAAAAACGTCCTGGAATAAAGTATGGCAATCGACGAAGACCCAAATTTAATGTAAAGAAAAACATGAACATGAACAAGGCAACAGTACCAGTTGTAAATAAAGGTTATCGTAAATATTGCCCGGTTTGGAAGAAATTATTGTATATTCATTGAAATTGAAATTACAAAGCACAGGAACAATATCCATGATATAAATTAGAATCATACAGGTACTGTAAGTACCACTGCCTCGTTACTGAAATATACTTTTTATTTTTTAATTATTTATTGTAAACAAATGGCCCACTCATTTGACAACATGGCCCATTAATTCTAAAAATGGCCCATTGAATTTTTTTTATGGGGGCCCTGGGCCCATAGAGAAAAAATCCTTCAAGATCACTGTGCTGACATGAGACCTGATAATAAATTTCAAGAAACTATTATTTGTAGTTTCCTAGAGTAATGTGCAAAATTTTATGGCCATAAAACATAGAGTATATAATTGTTCGGATTACAGGAATTTGAGCAGCGACGAATCTTCTGATTACAGGAAGTTGATCATTGATGAATCTTCTGATTACAGGAAGTTGATAAGTGACGAATTTTCTGTTTATAGGAAGTTGGTCAGTGACAAATCTTCTGATTACAGGAAGTTAATCAAGGATGAATCTTCTGATTACAGGAAGTTGATCAGTGATGAACCATGCAGGACAGTATAGCATACTAACATGAAGTCTGGTAAATCATTTCAGGAAACTATTATTTAAAGTTCCTGGGAAAAATGTGACAGAAATTTATTGGGACTGATGGACATATATACAAACAGAGAGACAATAGGAAAACAGTATACCCCTTTCTTTGGAGTAGGGTTCAGAGTGGAGCCATCAAAATCAAATGAGCCTTTGATAAGATGTTGTGACATAATTTGATCTACAAGCCACAGAAGTATTTTTTACACTTTGCCAATACATGAGGAGGTAATATGTAGCCTGGACAATCTTAAACCTGAAGTATTATCTTTAAACTTTGCCAATACATGTGGAGGTAATATGTAGCCTGGACAATCTTAAACCTGAAGTATTATCTTTAAACTTTGCAAACACATGTGGAGGTAATATGTAGTCTGGACAATCTTAAACCTGAAGTATAATCTTTAAACTTTGCCAATACATGTGGAGGAATATGTAGCCTGGCCAATCTTCAACCTGAAGTATGATCTTTAAACTTTGCCAATACATGTGGAGGAAAAGGTAGCCTGGCCAATCTTCAACCTGAAGTATTATCTTTAATCTTTGCCAATACATGTGGAGGAATAGGTAGCCTGGACAATCTTCAACCTGAAGTATTATCTTTAAACTTTGCCAATACATGTGGAGGAATATGTAGCCTGGCCAATCTTCAACCTAAAGTATTATCTTTAAACTTTGCCAATACATGTGGAGGAATATGTAGCCTGGCCAATCTTCAACCTGAAGTATTATCTTTAAACTTTGCCAATACATGTGGAGGAATAGGTAGCCTGGACAATCTTCAACCTGAAGTATTATCTTTAAACTTTGCCAATACATGTGGAGGAATAGGTAGCCTGGCCAATCTTCAACCTGAAGTATGACCTTTAAACTTTGCCAATACATGTGGAGGAAAAGGTAGCCTGGACAATCTTCAACCTGAAGTATTATCTTTAAACTTTGCCAATACATGTGGAGGAATAGGTAGCCTGGACAATCTTCAACCTGAAGTATTATCTTTAAACTTTGCCAATACATGTGGAGGAATATGTAGCCTGGCCAATCTTCAACCTAAAGTATTATCTTTAAACTTTGCCAATACATGTGGAGGAATAGGTAGCCTGGCCAATCTTCAACCTGAAGTATTATCTTTAAACTTTGCCAATACATGTGGAGGAATAGGTAGCCTGGACAATCTTCAACCTAAAGTATTATCTTTATACTTTGACAAAACATTTGGAGGAATATGAAGCCTGGCCAATCTTCAACCTGAAGTATTATCTTTAAACTTTGCCAATACATGTGGAGGAATATGTAGCCTGGCCAATCTTCAACCTAAAGTATTATCTTTCAACTTTGCCAATACATGTGGAGGAATATGTAGCCTGGCCAATCTTCAACCTGAAGTATTATCTTTAAACTTTGCCAATACATGTGGAGGAATAGGTAGCCTGGACAATCTTCAACCTGAAGTATTATCTTTAAACTTTGCCAATACATGTGGAGGAATAGGTAGCCTGGACAATCTTCAACCTGAAGTATTATCTTTAAACTTTGCCAATACATGTGGAGGAATAGGTAGCCTGGCCAATCATAAACCTTAAGTATAATCTTTAAACTTTGCCAATACATGTGGAGGAAAAGGTAGCCTGGCCAATCTTCAACCTGAAGTATTATCTTTAAACTTTGCCAATACATGTGGAGGTAATAGGTAGCCTGGCCAATCTTAAACCTAAAGTATAACCTTTAAACCTGATTCCAACACAGGTGGAGGTTTTGAAGTTGAGACAATCTTAAACCTGATGTATTACCTTTAAACTTTGATTCCATAACACATGCAGGTTTAGTAGACAGAAACATAGTAATAGCATAGTTTGCTGGATTACTTGGTTCTTTAAACTTGATTCCAATACAGGTGAAGGTTTAGTAGCAGAGACAATCTTAAACTTGAAGCATTACCTTTAAACTTGATTCCAATACAGGTGAAGGTTTAGTAGCGGAGACAATCTTAAACTTGAAGCATTACCTTTAAACTTGATTCCAATACAGGTGGAGGTAGCCGATACAATCTTAAACCTAATGTATTACCTTTAAACTTTGATTCCAACACAGGTGCAGGTTTAGTAGCCAGGAAAATCTTTTTAGCATACTTTGCTAGAGCACTTGGTTTTTCTCCTGGTAAAATCATTTGACGCAGAAATCTACATCTATCTCTAATGTCGTAGTTCTGATCGTACTTGGCTAGATTGAACACATACTGACACAGTAGTTTGGTCTGTTTAGGGTTGGTAATACACAGTTTGGCAGCTAAGTTAATTATCTGTAATTTCACTATATCCTCCTAAAATTAACATAATTTTAATTTTCAGCTGGTTATATCAGGTAAGGAATTTTACAATAATTAAACAATTTAATATTCAAACATTTACCTAAAGATACAGATTTTATGTGAAGAATTGGTAAAACAAAATCAGTTAATCAAACCTCAAATTATTAAAATAAATGTGTCAATTCAATAATACATTATTTGATATGAGTTTTTATACAAATATGTCATGCTTACAAGGGGTATTTGCCAAAAATACCAAAAACAAATTTAGCTGTTAGGCAAGGGAAATTTGTTTACCTCAAAACTGGTATTTTTGGCAAATACCCCTTGTAAGCATGATATAATTGTTTAATTCCACCGATTGCTTTTTGTATCCATCTTGACCTCAGAATTTTTATTGTACTGAGGTATGCTATGGAGTTTCTGCTTGACTATAATTTTTGTATGTGTAATGGTATTCAGCTGTTCCTTGCTGTCCAATCATCCTGTTTCTAAACTAAACTGTAAATAGCTTAGTATCAAATTTGTATTGTATGACATAATGGATTTTGTGTGTGACAAATCAAATGACACAAACCAATGACAAAGTCAGACAACAATTGTGACTTCATCAGGTCAAACAACTAACTGTGTGACAAACTCAAATGACACAAAATCCTAGCACAAAATGTGATTTCAAGATGAAGAATAGCAATAAAAGTTTTAAAAAATAAACAACTACCTACAATATACGTGTCTATATGCTGGGGGTCCTTCTTTGAATTTCTGTTGGATATAAGTTCTCAGAACTAATAGTGACTTCAGGATGAAGAACAACTATAAAAGTTGCATTCCTTTGTTGTGTGTTACTCAATACCCTATATATCAGTAGATTGTGTTATAACATATCGTATTGTCTCTTGTACATTTACTCCATAACATTTTGTATTTTCATACTTGTATAAGTCGATCATGATTTTCTTTCCATGTTTTTTTTTGAGTAAATTCATCTTCGGAAGTCGTGTTATTTTTAGACATGGTATTTCCCATCTGCCGTTGTATTTGCCAGCAAATACCCAGGCACATGGAATTCCCTAATGACAAATACACCGGCAGAGAAAAGAAAATCTCAATATATAGAAAATTGGTGAAAAATACCATTTCTCTCATCCTATCAAAATACAGCATTATTACCTAAGGTGGAATTAAATAAAATATTCTAATTGATTGATTTTAGGCCAATTAAAATTAATTGATAAATTTTCATCCCCACCTGCCCCTCTGAAATCGTCCTGCCCTGAATTTTTTTATTTTTAAAAGTTTATGATTTTAGATTTTGCTCAATGCCATTACTGGTAACCACTGCTAATTTCTTTTCATACAAAAATTCCTGATGCACATTTTGATTTTCCTATTTCTTTCAGTAATTTAACAAAGTAAGTAAGTCAACATATTCTGCTACTCTATGATGCAATTATTGTCTTCCAAGAATAGAGATTGATAACGGGAAGGGCATGAAAAATTCGGGGTTACAAGTAAATAGGCGGTGTCCAAGAATGCAAATCGCGGCATGTCACAAATTTCAGTGATTAGAAAACCCATGTATTTTTCTATTTATACAATGACTTTGTGTTAGGAAATTTGGACTGTGAATGATATTTAAAGCGAAAGAATCATCAAACACATTAAACAAAAAACATGACTCGAATAATGAAATTGACACAAGCACAAACTTGTGGGATTTATGATCGACTGAGTACAAAAAGTCGGCCAATGTACACAATGTATTATAGCAAGCCCTTAGATTTACCCCAAGGCTGTCGTTTTTTTTTATGACAAACAGCAAACGCCCACTGTCCCCAGCCCTCAATAGAGTCATTAAACAACTTCTTCTTTTTGGTTAAGTTCATGTTTTACATTGTTATTATATTTGCACCTTGCATAAGAATCTTAAAAGCATCAAACTTAGTATTTCGAGTCAACACAGTTTGAGTTTTCATTCCACTCTGTAATCATAATACTTGTGTTGCATACCAATGCAGAATCTGGGTCCGTCGCCCAAATTAACTTTTTTATTGTTTCAAAAAAAAAGTGAAAGAGAGGCTAATGATACGAAAGGGACATTCAAACTCATAAGTGGAAAATAAACTGACAACACCATGGCTAAAAAAGAAAAAGACAAACAGACAAACAATTGTACACAAAACACAACATAGCAAACCAAAGACTGAGCAACACGAACCCCACCAAAAACTGGGGGGGATCTCAGCTGCTCCGGAAGGGTAAGCAGATCCTGTTCCACATGTGGCACCCGTCGTGTTGCTCTTGTAAGTACAAACCCGGTGATAAGTCTAATTCGGTAGGTCACATTCAGGCGAAAGGGGATTAGATTGTAGTTACGACAGTTGTAATCTGTGAAACAGATATTCCATAACAGTCAACCTACTCATGATGGCTTCCATTAAATTTACGAAGGGATGATTTCAACTTCACCATTCTAAAAATGTAAACTGGTTTTCTACTTAATGCACTTTAACCGTACACAATCATTCAAATCATGAAATATTGCATTTAAAAAAACAGCAATAAAATGTTTAGAGTAACTACTTTATAAATTTTAAAAGAGCACTAGACTAAAATATCTAAAAACAAAATCCTAAAGCATCACATTACACACCATTCACCAATACTATCTAATATACACTTATATACAGTTTATAAAGAATTAATGTATTTAATTCAAATAACAGTCACAATTGTAATCAAAGTTCAAAGTCTACTGTGGTGGAACAATCGTCAGCTGGTTTGTCTGATGGTCCATACAGTCTTCATCAAATCCCCCCCCCCCCCCCCCCCCCCCCAAAAAAAAATATTTGATTTTGAAATTCATGAATTTTTATTAATGAAAATATAAATCTTTTGATTTATACATCTAAAAAATTCTGATAATTCAAACGATATTTGAATAAAAAAAGTGTGCGAACTGACCCAGGGGGCGAATGTGTGGGTTGCAAACGGTTATTGGGAGCAAACGGACCCCATACCACCAATGCATATGATTCATTTAATGGGCAATAGCATAGCTTAAAAAGCAAAATAAATTTGATGTACTGGGTAGTCAAAAAGAGAGCATTTCTCCATGTTTCTTGTATTAAATGAGAATAGGTTTCTAAAGCAGCAATTACATGTAGAACAGTGGTTGCCAATCAGAAATATTTATATAAGAAAATTAAAAATTTTGTAGAATTCCGTATATATACATGATATAAGCTTATATCATAAGAACACATTACAAAAGGGTTTTGGAGGAAATAAAAATTAAAAAATTAAATCTCTCTCACCCTATTTTTTTCAAAAATCTGGATGAAAATCTAATTAATTTTAGTTGGCCTTATGTTGTCTAGGAAATAGAAATGATAATCTGTTTTCTAATTTATCTTATAAAAACATTTCTATTTGGCAGTATGTATCAATAGTTACCTCATTAATGAAAGTTTTGGCCATTTTCCTGAGAACATCAGGAGCTATTTTAGGTACTCTTTCACTGTATTCTCCAATCAACCACAGAATACTAGCTCTAGCCATAGGTACAGTGATTGTGTCTACCATCTTAGCCATGTGCTTTATTATATCCTTATGTTCACTTGGCTATAAATAGAATATCATATCATGTAATTTCATAAGTTGTTATGATAAAATTAACAAAGGTCACAACATGCATGCAGTTTTTAATCTATAAGCTCTAATCATGTAAATTAAATGGATAATTTGGTGTAAATAAGTTATATTTTACAATAATAAACTAACAACATATGAAACTTTATGGATGTAATGAAGTTATTATTTCTTATATATATATATATATGATTTGAAATCCCCCTTAGAAATAAATTTCAAAGAAGTTCATTTCATAGTCAATAGAAGTAAAGACACTATATGAGAAAATAAAACTAAACTAGAGGCTTGTGTTGCTAACCTAGGTCTATGTTGTCTTCAACAATAGATTCTCTCCGACATTTTTCATCAGAATAGAATTCATGAAAAAAAATCTCTTCTTTGCTGATCTTGTATTGCTGATCATTTTTTATGTTTACTGTTTCTCTCTATTTTCTTCAGTTTTTGCCCAAAACACACAAGAGGGTAAAAAAATCTTTAAAATTGTCATTAAAGAACAATAACTCAAATAATGAAATGTCTGACTATTTTGGTCATGTTGACTTATTTGTAGATCTTGTGCTGCTAATCATTTTTGCAATTTAAACTTTCTATCTATAATAGTTTTTTTTTAAAAGATAATAGGCAAAAATGAAAAAAAAATGGTAAAATTCATCATTTATCTGCAATAAATGGATTACAGGTAAAGTTCAACATTCTGAACATTTTTTGCCCTTGTCAGATTTTCTCCTTTTAAAGCGGTTTTCAAAATAATGTTCTATTTTTAGCCATGTCAGCCATATTGGTTGACAAGTGGGGTCATCGGACATATTTTTTGAACTAGCTACCCCAAAGATGATTTTAGCCATGTTTGGTTAAATTTGGCCCTGTAGTTTCAGAGAAGAAGATTTTTGTAAAAGGACAACGACTACGACAAACGCCAAGCGTTGATACAGCTTTACTAGTGAAATCTTAAATCACAACACCCTGACACACATTTTAGATAGATCAAGGTTTATTTTTTGTGACATTGCTTTGACATTGAACTTTTTAATATATTCTACAGATATATGTTGTGTTTGTGTTGACTGTTGTCTCTTTGACATCTGAAATCTTCATTGATTTTTTTCACAACCATGGTTTGTTTCTGTTTACTTTAGCTATTTTCCAAACCATATAGTCCTGATAACACATAATTTGAAAATCAGGAAATAGAAGAATCAACAACTGAGTTTGAATATACAATATAAACTATGTCTTAATCCCACCATGCTCAAACATTTTCCTCATTTTTAATTTATCATGCATTTTGTTCTATTAATCTATATCTCCTGTTTTCATAGCATATTGACCCATCACCATAAAATTAAATATGTGTAGCTACCTCTGTTTCTTCTTCACGCTAAATTCAAAGCATAATTTACTATTGATAATTGATTAACTTGGCATTATCTATAATTTGAATAACGTTTTGGTACTAGCTGTGACACAGGAACACACAGCAGTTTCAGAAAGTTTGGCTTTGATTTATTACATTATTTCTACAGAAAAGAGGATAAAAAAAAACCATTTCAGGCAGATCCAATTTGTGTAATAAACTTTTTTCAAAATGATTCAGGCAGTGTATAAAAATTAAAATAAAATATAAAAATAATAAATTGAAGGGTAGAAACATCCATGATTGACTGATATACATCACATATATACAATTTGAATTAGTTATTACATTTTAAAATTGTATTTCTTTAATATAAATACAAGACTATTTTATGCAATTTAGACTGTAGTGGAGGCAGGTGTCAATATATTATACTCTGTTTCATCCTTACAATTTTGTGGTAAATTGTTCAATGGTGATCTACAGTTAGTATCTCTCACACATCTTACATACTTCTTAATGTCTGAATAACTAAATGTAATTATCATTGAATTCCTTTTATACAATATTATAATTAATCATGTTTAGCGGCAAAGTATGATGTAGCCAGAATGGGAAGAAAAAGAAAATATATCAAGCAATGGCATTAATAGGAATAAAGGAAAATCAAATGAATTATATGTTATATATATAAAGACTCAAGAAAAAATTATAATACATCAAAGCACACCAATATAAATCAGGGGATTATTTTTCTGTTGTTATATTGAACAGCTTATAATACAACTTTTTCTTTTAAGTATTTTTATGGAATTGGCAGATTTAGGGTCAAGGAACAGTAAATGGGCTACGTCATAGATTTTCGGGAAAAAAGGCATACAATTTATGCATGCTGAACTCTAACTGAAAATCGAAAAAGAAATGCATTTTCTTTTATTTTCCAAAATACTTTATTGTTAGATGCATTCTTTCACAGTAGATGTAAATGTGTATAGAAGGCGGATTAAATCGGCAAAAAAGGTCTTGAATTTGTCTTAAATTCATACTCTTTCTCTAATTTTCTTTCAAACCATTGGTTTTGCAAATCTTTTTGATTGATTTCAAATTCAATTATCTCCCCTTATTATTAATTTTCATCGATAATTTCCAACATGAATTAATCTGCTTTATGCTGATTTTCAAGCAGGGTATTACAAATGAATTGAATTTTACTGAAATTATTTTGAGTGCATAAACAGAAATGCTGTAGCAAGCATAATGGACTAATGGAAAGTTAGATGGACTCAATGAACTCTAAATAAACCCCAAAATTTTGTTTGAAGGGGTATAAAACAGCTTGTGTGCATAATTTTTGTGTATGTAAGCAACAGAAAAAGCAACAGAAAAAGAAAGCATATGTATAATGACATAAATATATATGATCACTTGTAATATATTATATACATCTATGGTGTGCAAAGAAATATTTGCTAAAGGTAGAAAATGGTGTAAAACAGGAACTATTATCTAAACAATTTTATTTCCGAGTTTCTAATTTGATCCACTGTTTAGGAAACAATCTGTCAATAGTATATAAAACAAATTGTTGACACAGAGACATGTCTCGTCTGTCTGCATAAAATTCAGAAAAAGACAATCAGATGACAGCAACATTGCTTATTAATTCAAAGTCCCTGGACCATGAACTAGTGGACAGGGCCTCGAAATAGTCAACAAACTGAGATGTATGGACAGTAATGTAACTTTATAGAAAATAGAATTGTCTATAGTAAGTAGTTCCTATCAAACTAACTGAAGCAGAAAAATTTACATTGAAAATTGGTAATTAAACCATGGCCTAGGGGGCAGGGCCTCAAAATAGTCATCAAACTGATATGTACTGATAGTAATGAAACTTTACATTAATTATCCATGATCTATCACAAGTAGTTCCTATCAAACTAACTTAAGCAGAAAACTTAACAATCGTTGCCGGAAAAGCAATCCCTATGTCTCGTTTTCCGTGTAGAAAGTCACAGGTGAGACAATAATAAAAAGAATGAATAACAAAACTGTCAAAGTTCTTTAAATATGTTATTAATTCTAGTTTTGTAGAAAAAATGTAAAATCAGTGGCAATTCAGATTATACAAGGCCTCGTTCATAATTTTATAATTACACTTGTTTTAAACAAATGAGCATGAATTTACTTTTCGTATTACACGATTGTGTTTTTCTGTACAGCAGCTGGTGTGTAAACAAGCCTGAATTGATAGCAGAATTAGTACTGTGAGCTTGCTATCAGTAACTTTAAGCATTCTTTGTTGCATTATGATAGTTATCTTTGTACATTTTTCTGTCATGTGTCAACTGGAAAGAAATTGGGTTTTTTCTGATCTAATTTTATTTGTACAGTGTTTACTCTATCTGCTGTTATTAAACTGAGGGAGGTTAATAGAAAAAATGCTGGAAACTCAAAAATAAATAGTTTAACCCTGCCACATGTATTAAAGTTTGATAGTTGTATATATATAGATAGTACTAACAATATTTCTATGTATTGAATTATGTGTTACAGTGTATTAAAAGATTGAACATGTGATGACATCTAATAAAGAAATGTCTACCTGAGATAGAAAGCTTAAGCATTAGTTATCTACAACAGGCTAAATAAACACTATAAAGATACCGCAAAACTGTAAGGATGAACCCGTGACCCTTTGTTTCTCTGGAATAATTTATAAATTTATAATTATAATGTCTATTTTATAAATTGCTTTCAAAATCTCTCAATTTATAGAGAGAAAAAAATTTACACATAAACACAACACATCAAAAAGACTTTTGTGTAGTGTGTCTATCTTTGAAAATGAATTACAAGTCTAATATTTGATTAAAATGTCATGAAGACACAACCTGATTAAAATACAAATTCTGTGTCCAAGCTTTGATTACAAGGATATAAAAACGCTCTGTTCTACTTTCTGATTTAAAGACCTTTCGAGATTCTCTGGTTTTTTCTTATTAATACACACCTTCAAAAATTTGAAGGCTGAAATCTAATTGGCTGATGTAATAATTACAGGAACAGAAAGTAAAACAGTGTGTTGTCAGATCCTTGTAAGCAAAGCTTGGACACAGGATTTGTATCAGATTGGAAAAGATACAGTACTTCATGGGAAGAAACCGACATATTCTCAGGGAGCAATTAATGTTAATAGCCTACACATCTATGTTTAATACATTAATTCAAAGTATTCTTTAATATATCCAAAAGCATTATTTGAAACAAACATTTTTTTCAGTATGTTGATTTTATGTAAAAGAAAAGAAATTATAAGATACTGAAGTTTGCCAAACGAAACAGTCATATAAACCACTTACCTGCATCTGTAAAAGTTTCTTGATAACAACCACACTTTCTGCTACTACACTCTCTGAAAAATATCAGGAAAGAAATTGTCTAATATATTAATATGAATTAAACAGCTTTCTAATACCTACCACAGATATGTATACATATCATATCTGTCCATGGCAATAGCTCCAACATATTTTGTTTTGGTTCTTTTTGGACTTTTTGTTTGAATATCATACACAAAATGAATATGTGAAATAGCTTGAATACAATTTTAAATAATGTTATTATTGTCAATAGGTATTAAAAATAGTTGATCCGCAATTATTATGGAAACTTGCCCAAAACATTACTCATATTATTGGCTAAAGATCAGAATTCAAAAGGAAATGTTGTCTTGAGAGCCAATATAATCTATACATTTCCAAGGGGTATAGTTTCTTTTCAAAGAGTTGATCAGCTCTTATTTCCGAATTGAAATTTCAGGACATTGCTGATATAAACCTTTGATATAAATTTCATAAAAATCCTACAAGAAATATCGGCATGAGAGCGCTAACAGGCAAATTTTCTATATAGTCTTCCAAGGGGTACAACTCCTTCAAATAGAATTGATCAACACTAACATTTTTAGCTAATCTAAGGCATTGCAGATATAAACATTCAATATAAATTTCATAAAAATTTGGCAACAATTGTATGCTCGGGAGTCTTTACTGGTCAACTGGACAGATAGATGCCTGATATTTCTTTGGCTCTACAACATTTTGAGGCAGAGGACAATTAAGTAGGACATGAATTAACACATTAACTGAAGTCACATGTGCATAAAATATAGGTCGAAGTGATCAAGTTTTAGTATGGACTATTATCATTGATAAAAACATTTTATGTTAAAATACTATTTATGACTTTTTGACCTTACCAGGTATATCAAAAATGTCATTCATTTGTAAAATCAAGATTAGCAGTGATCTTTATTATAATTAATAAAAGTTATAAATGAACCATAGCATAAAACTTTGTAGGACAGACCAATTTATAAACAAAAGTAGAAACACCAATAGACAAACAAAACAGACAAACAAAACAGACATCTGGTCTAATTTGTAGTAAGTGCTATAATTTTTTCAACTAACAGGACTTTTATAACTTCTAAAATGGAGTGTGTTTTCAAACTTTTCATTCATTGAAATATTGGTATAGCACATCTCTAAAACTAGATATGTCAGAACGACAAGAATGGCCCTACTTGCAAAAAAAGCTTGAAGCCAATTTTAGGAGTGAAAATTTGAGAATGAAAGTCTGTATAGGTTGCACTTCTGTAAATATAGACAACGCATTTTCCCATAGGAACTCCCTTTGCGGCTAAAGCTGTCCCACTTTTACTATGAAGTTTCGTAAAAAATCATATCCTAGAACGGAAAGTTGATATGCACTACTTTTTTATTCAAAGGTCAAAACATAGGGCTGTGTGGCATATTTTCAACATTTATATGCCCTGAAATTTTAAGAGTTTAAACTTATACCAAAATTCTGTACTATCCCTATCTCCATTTTGGGTATCCCTCAGAATTCAATTATCGCCGCTAACATCTGTTTTTATACTGGTAACATTCTCTATGAGATGAAACATAGAGATCATATCTGGGAACCAGAACGTAAACAAATTTAAATATCTATGAATATTATATATCTCCCCAAAAGAGGCGTGGCTTGTGAAACAGCTGTATTTACAAAGTGCAACCTATAACTGTTATTTTCACAAAATTTTCAAATCCCGTAATTTTGGCAGAAATCAGTGGAGCTGGACCTACACTCAATCTGTAACTCATCATAGTAGACTCACATACCAAAAATCAGCTCAATATGTGTAGGCGTTTACAAAATATGTTCATATAACTGTTATTTTCACAAAATGTTCAAAGTCCAAAGCCCGTGGAAAAAATCAGCAGAGTGGAACCAAACATAAACTAAATCTGTAACTCATCATATTAGACTCACATACTAAAAATCCACAATTCAACTACCAGCAAAACAGCGACATGGTTAGCGGGCTGCCCATCTGATCAACCTGGCCTTGAAAGCAGCCATTGTTAAGGCAGGTATGTCAAACCAAAAAACAATAGTCAATAAAATGCTCCGCTGGGCGCAGCTTGATACGACCGCCTGAACAGTTGGGGCAAGTATGGACACAACATTAAAGCTTGATACAGCTCCGAATTTGGATTGTGATTAAATATTTGACACAGCATAGGTTTCTGACACAGAATGAATGTGGTCTAAGAACTTAAAAATTTCTAATTTACCTATTATGGTCCAATATCCAAAATCTAAATACATAAACGGTTAGATTCAGCATATCAAAGAACCCCTAGAATTCAATTTTTGATAAAATCAAAAAAGTTTAATTTTGATCCCTTTGGACCTTAATGTAGACCAATTTGAAAACGGGACCAAAAATTAAGAATCTAAATTCATGGTTAAATTCAGCATATCAAAGAACCCCTATATTTCAATTGTTGATGAGATCAAACCATATCATTATTATTTGCTTTTATATATAAATAAAAAATAACCAACTTAAAATGGAAAATTTTAAAGAAAAAAAAAAGGAAAAATCCCCCCCCCCCCAATTTTTTTGAACCCCCTTATGATTCTTCACCCCCAAACTCAATCCCAGCCTTCCCTTTGTGGTATGGTACCTTGCAGTACAATTTCAGAGAGATCCATACACTTGAACACAAGTTATTGTCTGGAAACTGTAAAAATGTTTTTTTCCCCCTTTTTGGCCCCAAATTCCTAACCGTTTAGGGCAATTACCCCCAAACTCAAACTCAGCTTTACCTTTGTGATATGGAACATTGTAGTACAATTTCATAAACATCCATACACTTACACACAAGTTATTGTCCTGAAACTAGAAAATTCGTAAGGGTTCCGCGGAACCCAGTGTCTCGCCTACTTTTTCTGTTAATCGCAGGCTCAACAAAAATGAGGAAGTAAATCAATAAAAATATTCCTCTTGATACTATCTTTTGATTGTAAGAAGCTTCTGTCCAAGTTTGGTAAAAAGCCAGGATAGTTTATGAATCTAATAAATGTTTAAAAACTTTTAACTGCAGACTGAATGTAATGTTAACTGGAAGAAAACAAAATTTCCTTCTAGATACTAGCATTTGATCATAAACAAGCTTCTGTCAAAGTTTGGTACAAATCCAAAATAGTATAAGAAATTTATTAAATTTTAAAAACTTTAACCACAGAGTGAATGTGTTGTTTCCTGGCAGAAAATCTAAGTCCATTTAAAAGTAAAAAATGGAAAAAATGGATTTATTTTTTTTACAAAATTTCCTTCTAGATACTAGCTTTTGATCATAAACAAGCTTCTGTCCAAGTTTGGTACAAATCCAAAATAGTATAAGAAAGTTATTAAAATTTTAAAAACTTAAACCACAGAGTGAATGTAATATTTCCCGGCAGAAAAACTAAGTCCATTTATAAGTAAAATACGGAAAAAATGGAATTTTATTTTTACAAAATTTACTTCTGGATACTATCTTATGATCATAAACAAGCTTCTGTCCAAGTTTGGTAGAAATCAAGGATAGTTTAAGAAAGTTATTAAAATTTTAAAAACTTTAACCACAGAGTGAATGTAATATTTCCCGGCAGAAAAACTAAGTCCATTTATAAGTAAAATACGGAAAAAAAGGATTTATTTTTACAAATTTTACTTCTGGATACTATCTTATGATCATAAACAAGCTTCTGTCCAAGTTTGGTATAAATCAAGGATAGTTTAAGAAAAACTTTAACCACAGAGTGAATATTTGTGGACGCCGCCGACGACAACGACGACGAAGACGGAATGTAGGATCGCTATGTCTCGCTTTTTCGACTAAAGGCTCGACAAAAAGGTTAGTTTTTTGCCCCTTTTTGGCCCCAAATTCCTAATATTTTGAGGCAATTACCCCCAAAATCAATCCCAGCATTCCCTTTGTAAAATGGTACCTTGCAGTACAATTTCAGAGAGATTCATACACTTGAACACAAGTTATTGTCTGGAAACTCGAAAAATGCTTATTTTTAGCCCCTTTTTGGCCCCTTATTTCTAAACGTTTTGGGCAATTACCCCCAAACTTAATTCCAGCTTTCCCTTTGTGATATGGAACCTTGCAGTACAATTTCATAAAGATCCATACACTTACACACAAGTTATTGTAATGAAACTAGAAAAATGCTTGTTTTTTGCCCCTTTTTTGGCCCCTGATTCCAAAATTTTAAGGCAATAACCCCCAAAATCAATCCCAGCAATCCCTTTGTCATATGGAACCTTGTGGTACAATGTCAGAGAGATCCATACCCTAACACACAAGTTATTGTCTGGAAGTTACAAAAATGCTTATTTTTGGCCCCTTTTTGGCCCCTTATTCCTTAACTGTTGGTACCATAACCCCCAAAATCAATCCCAACCTTCCTTTTGTGGTATTGAACCTTATGGTAAAATATCATAGAGATCCATTCACTTGAACTTAAGTTATTGTGTGAAAACCAATGTGTCTTCGGACGATGACGACGACGCCAATATTTGACCGCAAAGTATAAAAACCAAATCGATCCAGCAAAACCAAAATGGCCACCTTTTTCCAGCTTGACAACAACAAAATATTTCAATGCTCATCAAACGCCTTCGAGCACCGAGTCGACCTTGCGAGGGCCTACCAGCCAGTCAAGGTTGTTAAACACCACCCAGTTAAGTACTTACAATCAGCTCAATATGTGATGGCATTAGAAAAAGAGTCTGTATAACTGTTCGGAATGACAGAATGACAGAATGACGCATAAGGGTAAAACTATATGGCTCAACAACTTTGTTGCGGGGCCATAAAAAATTATCAAAGTTTAAAACCTTTGATTCTGATATCATGACCTTACCATCCCTATTAGACATTAAATGGACTAGTCCATTTAGACAGGTATCTGTTATTTCTGCTATATTACTGGCACACCTCCCTATAGCCTGAATGGTAGCTGCTGCAAATTCCTTGTCGTTACTGGTCACATATGTCTTCAAATACATACAATCAAATCTTTTTTAAATTTATAATTTTTAATAATTAATATCTAGTTTATAAAAACTCATTGGCTAATAATTTTATACAACAAAGCACATTTTGTCTTCATAAGATTTATCTGTTGGGCTCTAATCAAAACAGTTTTTCCTATCAACATGGAATTGATTGTTATATCCTCCTTTGTAATGTTCACTAAGTATCTTGGAGAAATGGTCATTAACTTTATTCTCTCCAATGTCCTTACTTAATAAACAGTGATGTCATATAACTTCTTATGTACTTTCCTGATTTAAAAATATAATCAAAACTTGTAAAAATGCTGATATTTGATATTCTGAGTTACTTTATTATATTTCACAAAATATAATGATTAACATCCATTATCCTACCAGTTTCACCATTGATCATCAGGGATAATAAGATTGTCCTTGACATTTGATTGTACTTATGTGGCATTGCTTTGATTGTATATTCCTGGTTTAGTGTGGACTTGAAATGTTTATGGATTTCTTCTCTACACATATATATATATATATTTCTAAACAAATATTTTGTCAAGTTTCACTGTTTCTCAGATTATATGTAGGTTTTCTCCACTTTTAAAGTTAAATATGAAAATAATAATAAGGTGCAAACAAGTTTTTACAGCTACATCTTATAACCGTTCATTTAAATAAATGTATTTATAGACCTCACATGTCTAATGGCTTGATATTTTATCTTTTTTATCAAAAAAAACTACATGTTACATTGACAAGATGGTAATTAATGAATTTCTCTCACCTGCAGTTCTCTCAGAATCGTAGAAATGTTGGTTTCTGTTGCCAAATTTGTTAAAATTTCCAACTGAAAACCAAAAAAATGAAAAACAACATTTTATTAATTTCATGCAAGGTATATACAAGTTATATCATGTTTTCAATACAAAGTATCATTTATTCAACTTATTTTAAAATAAACTGTTGACACAGAGATATGTCTCGCCTATTTGTAGCTTTGATAGTATAATGCAAATATTGAATCCAAATGGCAATATTTAAACATGTAAACTATGCAAAACATTCAAAGACAAATGAACCATTATTTATGGTGCAGAACAAAATAACAGAAATGGAAATGAGAAATACCAATGCTTATAAAACTGCATACCAAATACCATTAACTTATCAGAAGTGGTTCCTTTTACAATAACCTGAACACAAACTTTAATTTGTAAGTAATGTAAAAGTTTCAAAGTCAATGAACCATGCTGAGGGGTGGGGCCATATAATCACCATGGAAAAGAGACTTGCAAATTTTAATACAACTGCATACCAAATATCATTGACTTAACATTAGCAGTTCATTCCTCTTAAATTGATCAGACCACAAACTTAAAATGTAAACTATGCAAAACATTCAAAGTCAATAACACATTACTGAGCGGGAGGATCTGCCTACCTACCAAATATCATGACCTACCACTAGTAGTTCCCCTTAAACTGACCTAATCACAAACTAATACATGTAAAGATAGCAGACATTTCAAAGTCAATAGTCCATGACTTGGGTAGGGCAAAATAATCTCCATGGAAATGAGATGTGCCATTGCTAATACAATTGCATACCAAATATCGTTGACCTACCAGTAGTGGTTCCCCATAAACTGACCTAATCACAAACTAATACATTGTTGACAACGCTGATGCAAGAAACAGCATACCTTAGTCTCGCTTTTTGACTCTATCAAGGTGATACAAAAATGCTTATCTAATTGATAAAGAAACCACAAATTATAAAAAAAAAAACTTTGTGTACAATTATAACCACAAAAATGTTTAACAAATACATTATATAAAACAATTTATACCATCTTTCTTTTGAAGAATGCTTATCTGGCACTTCCAACTGATGCTCCCCGACCTGCAAATTTATCAATAGGTTTTTTTCTAGGGTTCAAGATAGCATGCTTGGACAAACAAACATGTACTTATTTTCACCTGTATAAATGTCTAACAAATCATAGTTGGATATCATTCCCACAATCAAATTTAAAACAAGAATGTGTCCATAGTACATGGATGCTCCACTCGCACTATCATTTTCTAGGTTCAGTGGACCGTGAAATTGGGGTCAAAACTCTAATTTGGCATTAAAATTAGAAAGATCATATTATAGGGAACATGTGTACTAAGTTTCAAGTTGATTGGACTTCAACTTCATCAAAAGCTACCTTGACCAAAAACTTTAACCTGAAGCAGGACAGACGGACAAACGGACGGACGAATGGACACACAGACAAAAAAAAAAACATAATGCCCCTAGATGGGACATAAAAATCTATTTTTAGTCACAGTGACATTGACTTTATTTCCCACATCTCTATGTCTTCAATCTCTATAAGTTTCATTCCAATCATGCAAGGCAAACTCAAGTAACTATCTAGGAACCATTATCCACAAAACAAATTATATTTAGTAACAGTGACCTCAACTTTTGACAGAAAACAAATAGAATTCTTTTCTCTTCTCATATCTTCTATCTGAATAAAAAATTTAATCCAATCAAGAAAAGGAAACTCCAATAACCATCCAGAAACCTTTCTTCTAAATTTTTTTTTCTATGTGTAGCAACAGCAACCTTGACCTTTGACTGATTGACCCCAGATCAAATGCTTCTCTCCTTTGGAATATCTTCCATATGCATGTTTCATTCAAAACAAGCTAGGGATACTGAAGTTATCATTGCAGAAACAATTTCTTTCAGACAGAAATACTGACAGACAGGACAGACGGCAAGTAGGACAGATGGACAAGTAAAAAACTAAAAGAATATTCGGAGAGCATGCATATGATTAACAAGCTATATAAATAAATATGTTATGTAATTACCTTTAACAATTTGATGTGAGTTGGGTCGCTAGATCTTATATAAAAACTCTTTAAAAATGGTTCAAACATTCCCTGAAATAATACAACAAAATCTGTATGTTTGGTTAAATAAATGAATCAAAGATAATTCTTATAAAAGTTTTAGTTAATTTTATACTCTGAAATAAATCAAAACATTTTTTTTTTTCTTTTTCACAATAAAAATTCAAGGTGATCTTGTGTCTTGTTTTTGTCTATTCCTTTAAAAGCTGTGTATTATTACTGTGACTTGACTGTAAGTGTTGCTCTCCACCTATGGGAGAGAGATAATCAATTTTCTTTCGAAAAAGTCTTCTGCATTCAAAAGAATAATGATTTTAGGTTATCTCCCATGGAATCTTATTAACAACTTATTGTAATTTCACATATATTTTACTGAATATATGTTTTAATTCAAATGATGTCTGATTCTCATGAACATAGAAGACTTTTCGAACGAAAAATTGTATGAAAGCTTAGTTTGGACATTTTCATAGCAATTCAAAATAACTACCTATCACCTTTAGCATGACAATTACAATAAAATTTGTATATACAAATTGTTAGACTGATTTTTCATAATATCACTGAACTGGAATTAAAGTCTTATAGGATTGTAACTATGCTTTATTTTATCACCTTGCACTTTCAGGACTTGACTATGGTTTTCTACAGCAGTTTGTTCAAATTTCTGACCAGTTGAATAGTTTGGTTTTATAAAACAAATTGCAATTTGGTCAGCATTTTGAATAAGTTGCAATAGGTGGAGAGAAACAATTACAGTCAAGTCACAGTAACATTATATAATGTGACCATTTAAAAATCTATTCCTGCTTTAATGTGAGTCCAACATAAGTAATTGTGTTTATTAGTCTAGTTTGTTTACAAGGTATTTTGCAGAAAATTTAAACTTCTGATAGGTAACACCTACATCTATTCCAAAATTCATTTTGGTATTTTATGATAGTTTATCTGTTCATGTTGCAAGAATGTAAAATGTCAATCCTCTTGTCACAAGGGTATACAGTGTCAATCATCTTGTCACAAGGGTATACAGTGTCAATCCTCTTGTCACAAGGATATAAAGTGTCAATCTTCTTGCTGCCAGGATATTAAGTGTCAATCTTTTTGTCACAAGGATATAGAGAGTCAAACCTTTTGTCACCATGATATAGAGTGTCAAACCTTTTCTCACCAGGATGTAAAGTGACAATCCTTTTGTTGCCAGGTTTTAAATTGTCAATCCTTTTGTTGCCATGATGTAGTGTCAATTCTCTTGTCACAAGGATATACTGTGTTAATCTTCTTGACACCAGGATATAAGTGTCAATCCTAAAGTCAACATGATATAAAGTGTCAAACTTTCTTCTCACAAGGATATTATGTGTCAGTACTCTTGTGATAAGGATGTTACATGTCAATCCTCTTGTCCCTAGGATATATAGTGTCAATCTTCTTGACACCAGGATATAAAGTGTAAATCCTTGTGTCACAAGAATATAAAGTGTCAATCCTTTTCTCACAAGGATATAATGTGCCGATCTCCACAATGTAAAATATAAAATTTTATCAAAACTGTATTAACTATTTTTGACTACTCACCTTCCTGTCAATAGACATGGTAGCTATGTTACTCAGGACTATATACTGTACTTCTCTATAACAATAATACATAAAAGAAAACTATTAATACAAGTTCCCCAATGAAGTTTCGGAAGTTCTACAGCTTTTCTAATATAAATAAAAGAACAGAGTTCCAATGCCCCATGTTGCACATATTTGATCTATCCAAGGGCAATAACTAAAAAAAGTCCTTTTTTTTTGTGCTTCAAAACAATTAATATTTATCTTGGAGAAGAGAAGGCTTCAGAGCAAACGCAAATGCAATTTCCATTATAATTAATTTTTCCAAGAGGCATAACTCGTTAAAAATATTTGATCAGCAATTATTTTCGAAAGTGTCAAAGACATAGCTGATATAAACCTATGATATAAGTTTCATAAAATTCTGAATTGTACACATGAGAGCACTAACAATGCAATTTTCCATGTAATCAATATTTCAAAGGGACATAACTCTTTTATAATTAATGATTGGCACCAATTTTCAAATTTGCCTGAGACATTGATGATATAAACCTATAATATAAATTTCATAAAAATCTGGCAAGAATTGTACACATGAGAGTGCTAACAATGCAATTTTCCATATAATCAATATTTCCAAGGGCCATAATTCTTTTAAAAATAATTGATTGGCACTGATTTTCGAACTCATCAAAAACCTATAAAATAAATTTCATAATATAAATTTCATAAAAATCTGGCAAGAATTGTACACATAAGGGCGCTCGTAAGGCAATTTTCTTATAATATAAATTTCATAAACACAGAGTTCGCGAAAATGGTCGGTCCTGTCGGTCGAAATGAGGCTCGGACCAGTATTTTGAAGGATCGTGCCGGTCCCGTTGACCGATGAAAAACGGCCGTTGTAGTGCATATTTCGGCACTTTTTTACATCGGTTATTAGATGTACCGCAACTGTTTCCAAAAAGTGTTTACATCGGTTATCAGATGTACCCGCTGCCAATTTCCGGTACTGGTTTACGGATTTATTATAAACAAACCAAAGCGGTGATCTACACGTGGCCTACTAAATTTGTTCATAGACCCATCCCTGGCAAACAATCGGCGATTGAACCCTACAATGGAGCAAACAAATACTGTAACAGCCGAGAAAATGATTCAGATGATGAAATGGATAGTGAAGACGACTTTAAATGAGAACAATCAGAAGACCTGAACTGGTCCTTCATTGTTAATTTGCCTGTGGGTGCGAAGAATAAAACTAATATTAATAAAGTTATTTTTCGATAAAATATGTTATTAATTTTATTTCAGGATAAAATTGACAGATTTTGTAGGACTGGCTAAAATTTTGTAGGACTGACAAATAATCAGGCTTTGTCGGTCCCATGACCGACGGGTCAAATTAAGTTTTCGCGAACTCTGTAAACATCTGGCAAGAATTGTATGTGTACATAAGAGAGCTCATAAGGCAATTTTCCATATTTATAATTAATATTTCCAAGGGGCATAACTCTTTTAAAAATAATTGATCAAAAATGATTTGCGTACTCATCAAAAACATTGCTGATATTAATCTAAAGTATAAGTTTTATAAAAATCTGGCAGGAATTGTTCCCGTGAGAGCGTTAACAAGGCCATTTTCCATATTTATAATTAATATTTCCAAGGGGCATTACTCTTTTAAAAATAATTGATCAACACTGATTTTCATACTCATCAAAAACATTGCTGATATTAATCTATAGTATAAGTTTCATAAAAATCTGGCAGGAATTGTACCTATGAGAGCGCTAACAAGGCCATTTTCCATAAATTTAATATTTCCAAGGGGAATAACTCTTTTAAAAATAGTCGATCAGCCACCATTATAAAACTTGTCCGAGATATTGCTGATATTAACCTATAGTATAAGTTTTATAAAAATCTGACAAGAATTGTACCTGTGAGAGCGCTAACAAGACTGGATGGAGGGACAGACAGACAGACGCCCAGTATTTCTATGTCCCTGCTAAAGAGTGCACTGGGGACAAGAGGTTCCCAAGATTGGGAGCCTGAATCACTCAACAGGTAAAAATATGCAATTTTGATGTTTATTTTACTTTTATCGCAATCAGTTATGTTTGCTTATTTGTAAATTATGTTTAGTAGCATTTTTTTTTTAGATTCTATAGATGATCATTTTACTTTTTACAGTTTATAGCTATCTGTAAAATTCGTCCAAAACAGCTGATTAAGCCTCGCCTTCCCTACATCATTGAGGCCAGATTAAAATACAGAAAATGATTTGCACCTCGCTACCTGTAGTAGAAACAATGCTTACAAAACACAGTAAATAGCTCATTCACTACATATTGACATGATTGATGTAGACAGAAAAAGATAGATACTCTATTTTATTTTTCTTTGTAAAAAAAAGGTAACTGATTGAACCAAGACTTGTTATCATCTTCATTTTAAAATGTTTACTTACTTGTGACTTCTAAGTAGTCTGATCAATGATTTAGCTACAACTCCTACTTCTGCCTTTGGGGCACAATGGTAATAAAGCTGAGCTACTGACATGACAACCTGTAAAACAAATAGAATATTGTCACCAGAACTGCAATGCATCATTATAAATGTTTTACAATTCTATAATCTTTAAATGAATGGTTTCAACATTTAACATGGTTAGTATTGTTCTAAACTGGAGAGAAATTTCATTTATGTTTTAGATATGATTCAAAGATGACATAACACACATCATGGCTACTTTTGTGTGGTGTAATTTATTCATGATCTGTCATTGGATGATCATGAACATAATGTACATTATAGAGATACATTGGCCTAAAAAAATATGATTTTATAACTGAAAAATTCTGTAAAAAAAAGATTTTCTAGCCTGAAATTGCTGCTGTCTGTGTAAATGTGTTATACTGAATGCCAAAAACTGAGTCCATTTATCACTAAAATAAGCAATCTTTTTTTTTAATTTGAATTTTTTCTTCAGATGTTATGTGTTGATCTTGAAGAAGCTTCTGTCCAAGTTTCATAACATTCCATGAAGGTTTAATAAAGATATTGATTATTATTATTATACAATATTCATAAAGCACATTATCTTATAAATAAACTGTTAACACAGAGATATGTCTCACCTTTTATTATTTTGATAGTAAAATGCAAATGTTGAAATTAAAATAGCAATACTTTAACATATAAATTGTGCAAAAGTCAATAAACCATGACTAAAGATACATGGCCAAACAATCTCCATGGAAATGAGATGTGCCAATGCTAATACAACTGCATGATATCAATATATCATTGACCTACCACTAGTGATTCCCCATAAACTGACCTAATCACAAACTAATACATGTAAACTAAACAAAAGTTTGAAAGTCAATAGACCATGACTGAAGATACATGGCCAAACAATCTCCATGGAAATGGAAATGAGATGTGCCAATGCTAATACAACTGCATGATATCAATATATCTTTGACCTACCACTTGTGGTTCCCCATAAACTGACCTAATCACAAACCAAAAGATGTAAACTAAGCTAAAGTTTCAAAGTCAATAGACCATGACTAAGAGGGCAGGGCTAAATAATCTCCATGGAAATGAGATGTGCCAATGTTAATACAACTGCACACCAAATATCGTTGATCTACCACTGACCTAATCACAAACTCATATATTGTTGACGACACCGACACCACTTATGCCGTAAACAGCATATCCATGTCTCGCTTTTTTACTCTAAGCACTTTACACAATTAAAAATAGTCATATCAATAACATATAACAAACTAAAATATGGTGCAAAAGATAAATTAAGTAATGGTTTAGCCTGTCTTAGTAAGAGTCGATGATCTGTGTCCATGTCATAAGTTATAATACTTACAGCAGAATTTCTACTATTCAGTAATGGTTTAGCCTGTCTCAGTAAGAGTCGATGATCCGTGTCCATGACGTAAGTTGGTTCTTTCTTTTCTCGTTCCTCCTCCTCCTCTTCTTCTTTTTCAGAATCTTCATAAAAACTTTTATTTTCTTTGGAACTATCCTGATTTATAATATTAAAAAGTCAGCAATATAATTCCTGTAGCAATAACATAATTAGGTCAGCAAGACTTCTTTCAATCAGTTTAATTGAGGTCTGGAGCTGGCATGTCAGTAACTGCTAGTAGTCCTTTGTTAATTTATGTATCATTGTCATTTTGCCTAGTTTCTTTTGTTTCCTATTCTGACATCGGATTTGGACTTCTTTTAAACTGGGTTTTACTGTGCATATTGCTGTGTGTTTGTTTTTTCTACATTGGCTAGAGGTATAGGGGGAGGGTTGAGATCTCACAAAACATGTTTAACCCTGCCGCATTTTTGCGCCTGTCCCACATTGTCCCAAGTCAGTAGCCTCTGGCCTTTGTTAGTCTTGTATGATTTTTAATTTTAGTTCATTTATATGTTTTGGAGTTTAGTATGACGTCCATTATCACTGAACTAGTACACATTTTTGTTTAGGGGCCAGCTGAAGCATGCCTCCTGGTGCGGGATTTTCTCGCTGTGTTGAAGACCCATTGGTGGCTGTATTCTGCTCTTTGGTCGGGGTGTTGTCTCTTTGACACATTCCCCATTTCCATTCTCAATTTTATTTAATTAAGTAAACAAGAATATAATTGCTGAAGCTAATTACAACATTTAATTAATTGAATTGTTAATTTATTCAGATTCAATCAGGAATTATGTATAAAATCAATATATATAGCAATAATTGTCAGCAAGGATCAAGAAAAATGTTCATCCAATTTCTGTAATCTTTTTAAAACTTAATAGTCAGGTTCGATTTTATTTATTTTTCATAGGTACTAACTTTTTTAGGAAACATTGTATTTTTGTTGATATTTGATTTCATGGTTTTGCCAAAGTCTGTATACAAGTCTATAGAACATTTGTACTTCATTTAACATTTACATTTGTAGTTCACCTGTACCGATGGAATCCATGATAATTAGTATCCCACCATTAATTGATAATCCACAGTAATTTGGCATGAAATTATTTTGTATTTTACATAAGTGTCTTTTCCTCTTAAAAAAAATCTTTTTCAATTTTACAAAATTCTATACTGTAAATTAAGAAATTATTGCGAGGTTTTTATTAATGCGAATAATGCGACTGGGTGAGTATCGCAATAATAAAAGCTTGCATTTTGATATCTAATATATATAATACTGTATGCAGATTTTACTGAAATTGCAATAATTAATCTCGCATTATAGTAATTTTTTTAAAAATCGCAATAATAAATGCACACAATAATTTCTGAATTTACAGTAGTTTTAATTTTTAAATTTCAATTGTCAATAACCTTTGTTTAATGAATAAAAAATTGAAGTAATTTGAAAGTGTTCAATATAATATCCTGTTGGTTATTTTGATCAGTGATCATTAGCCAGATATCTCCAGGGGCATTAACACGTTTATTATTGGAAAAGCAATCAGGATTTATTGATTGATAACCAATAATATTCAATTTCTGACGAAAGGCTCTTGAATAAGTCTTATGGTAAAACTCTATTTGACTGAAATTAGGAATTTCATTTGAGTTATTTGAATTTCAAATCTGTTGTAACTGCCAAATGTGACTGTTTCAAGACCCTCTATTATCAGTTGTAGTTTTTAAACATAAGGACTTCTAGATTTTCTCATGAGCTTCCTAATCATAGAAAAGATGGAAGTAATCTTGTACATTCATAAAAATTGTTGGTACGGATGAACATAGTCCTGGCACTTCCATGAGTATAAAACAAGTTTGACCATTTATGTTAAAATATATAAAAACTCACAGTTTTATTAGGGTTGATGAATTGAGTTCTGGCATATCTTGTCAACATATTAACAATTACAACTTGACCCCATTCTTCTACATCCACCAACAAGTTACAGAGTTTACGATAGTTCTTATGGATCAAATCTATCCTTTCCGGACACACTTCCTCAAAGGCCTGGATAGCACTACCTGCTACAAGCTAGAAAAATAATGTATTCATTAATTTTTACATGCACATAAAATTATTTGAACAAAATTGTCTTGGGGTCTTTGAAGGCATGTTTATAAATTTCTGTAGGATGTTGGGTCTATATAACACATTTAATCATTTTGGATTATTTGAAAACAAATCAATTTTGGTTGGGCTTCTAAACAAGTGCTTTCAAAGATTCCAAACTATTTTTTTTTTAAATCTAGAAAAAGTCTATTTTAAACACTGTTTTTCTCATGACAAATAGCTACACAAATATTGAATAAGAATAACTAAATATATGTATTCCAGTTCTAACAGGCAATACAGTTAATTTTATGCATATTTTTATTATCATGAATTTAATCTGTTGATTCTTAATGAATTTAAATACGAAACTGTTATATTGATTGTCTAATTAAACGTCTGAGTAAGGAAGTCTAAAACTAAGGTAATTTTTAAATAGACCAATACAACTGAGTCAGAAAGTCATAAACTATTGACAGTAAGGTCATTTTTACAAAGACCATTGTCCAATTAAACATCTGAGTCAGAAAGTCTAAAACTAAGGTAATTTTTACATAGACCAATACAACTTACTGTAGTCAGAAAGTCTAATACTAAGGTCATTTTTTCATAGACCAATACAACTTATAGAAGTCAGAAGTCTAAAACTAAGGTCATTTTTTGCATAGACCCATACAACTGTAGTCAAGAAGTCTAAAACTAATATCATTTTTACAAAGACCAATACAACTTATAGAAGTCAGAAAGTCTAAAACTAAGGTCATTTTTAGATAGACCAATACAACCTACCATAGTCAGAAAGTCTAAAACTAAGGTCATTTTTACACAGACCAATACAACTTATAGTAGTCAGAAGTATAAAACTAAGGTCATTTTTACATAGACCAATACAACTTCTGGTAGTTAGGAAGTCTAAAACTAAGGTCATTTTTACATAGACCCATACAACTTACTGTAGTCTTATCAGCTAAAAGTTTTTCAATGACTTCAACAAGCTGTTCTTTGTTCTCTGGATCAAGACTGAAAAATAAAAAGGACATCATCTGTTAGAGTTTGGAATAATTTATGATATTTATATACCTGTATAGTTAAGGATTACCATGAGCTGTTGTCTTCTTGATATGGGGTGACATATAGTTAATATTAAGTATATACATGTATGATCAGTGCTTTCAAAGGTTTTTAAGTAGGGGGCACTTTCAATAAAGGTATGAGGCTATCGTCTTCCTGATGTAGGGTGACATATGGTTTATGATATGTATATATGGTATTGATATACCTGTAGAGTTTAGGAATGCCATGACCTGTTGTCTTCCTGACATAGGGTGAGATATCAATCCTGTTATGTAAATATGATATTGATATACCTGTACAGTTTAGGAATGCCATGAGCTGCTGTCTTCCTGATATAGAGTGAGATATCAATCCTGGTATGTAAATATATTGATATACCTGTACAGTTTAGGAATGCCATGAGCTGTTGTCTTCTTGATATAGAGTGAGATATCAATCCTGTTATGTAAATATGATATTGATATACCTGTACAGTTTAGGAATGCCATGAGCTGCTGTCTTCCTGACATAGGGTGACATATCATTGACTGCTTCCTTTATAGCCAGCATCATGATAGGTGAAATCATTGGTACACGAATACTTGACAAAACTCTAAGTGCACTGGCTCTGATCAGCTGATTAGGATCCTACAATATCAATGTTTATATAAACTAGAGGAAAGCTCACAAAATTCTACCCCTGCCCCTTGTCAAGTACATGCTTAAGTAAGGAAAACACCCAAAAAAAATTGAGATCAAAAACAAAATAGGAGTATCAGGGTTCCATGTGTTATTTTTGCTATTGTTGCTGTCAGTGTGTTGTTGACTGCCAAAAAACAAAGGCCATTTATCACTGGAATACGATTTTTTTTTTTCCTTAGATGCTATTTCTTGATCATAAAGCAGCTCTCTGTCCAAGATTAATGATAATCCTTGAAAGCTTGACAAATTTATTGATGCCTTCAAGTTATTGATATCTGAAAATTTAGACTGCAGTCTGTACAAGTAAGGAGTAACTGGAAACAAAAAAAAACAAATACATCTATAAGTAAATATAGAAAATTCAACATTTAAAAAGAATTCTAAATGGTGTTCTAGATTTTGTATTTTGATTATGATGAAGCATCTGTCCCAATAAAAATAAGTCAATGATGTTTAATTACTCGATGTACACTGTTGTAATACCTGCAATGCTCCTTGTACAATGTGGTCCTACCTTCAAAGCTCTTTGAATAAAGTCACCATACCTTCAATGTTCTTTGTACAATGTCACCATACCTTCAATGTTCTTAGTGAAATGTCACCATACCTTCAATGCTCTTTGTACAATGTCACCATACCTTCAATGCTCCTTGTACAATGTCACCATACCTTCAATGCTCTTTGTACAATGTCACCATACCTTTGATGCTCCTTGTACAATGTCACCATACCTTCCATGTTCTTTGTACAATGTCACCATACCTTCAATGCTCTTTGCACAATGACACCATACCTTCCATGTTCTTCATAGAAAGTCACCATACCTTCAATGTTCCTAGTACAATGTCACTGTACCTTCAATGCTCTCTGTATAATGTCCCCATACCTTCACTGCTCCTTGTACAATGTCATCATACCTTCAATACTCTTTGTATAATGTCCATACCTTCAATGCTCCTTGTACAATGTCCCATACCTTCAATGCTCTTTGTACAATGTTGTCATACCTTAAATGCTCTTTGTACAATGTCACCATACCTTCAATGCTCCTTGTACAATGTCACCATACCTTTAATGATCTTTGTTGAAAGTCACCATACCTTAAATGCTCTTTGTATAAAGTCACAATACCTGCTATGATGAAGCATCTGTCCCAATAAAAATAAGTCAATGATGTTTAATTACTCAATGTACACTGTTGTAATACCTGCAATGCTCCTTGTACAATGTGGTCCTACCTTCAAAGCTCTTTGAATAAAGTCACCATACCTTCAATGTTCTTTGTACAATGTCACCATACCTTCAATGTTCTTAGTGAAATGTCACCATACCTTCAATGCTCTTTGTACAATGTCACCATACCTTCAATGCTCCTTGTACAATGTCACCATACCTTCAATGCTCTTTGTACAATGTCACCATACCTTTGATGCTCCTTGTACAATGTCACCATACCTTCCATGTTCTTTGTACAATGTCACCATACCTTCAATGCTCTTTGCACAATGACACCATACCTTCCATGTTCTTCATAGAAAGTCACCATACCTTCAATGTTCCTAGTACAATGTCACTGTACCTTCAATGCTCTCTGTATAATGTCCCCATACCTTCACTGCTCCTTGTACAATGTCATCATACCTTCAATACTCTTTGTATAATGTCCATACCTTCAATGCTCCTTGTACAATGTCCCATACCTTCAATGCTCTTTGTACAATGTTGTCATACCTTAAATGCTCTTTGTACAATGTCACCATACCTTCAATGCTCCTTGTACAATGTCACCATACCTTTAATGATCTTTGTTGAAAGTCACCATACCTTAAATGCTCTTTGTATAAAGTCACAATACCTGCTATGGTCTTTGTATGAAGTCACATTACCTGCAATGGTCTTTGTATAAAGTAACCTTCCCCTCAATGCTCTATGTACAAAGTCACCATACCTTATATGCTCTTTGTATAAAGTCACAATACCTGCTATGGTCTTTGTATAAAGTCACAATACATGCAATGGTCTTTGTATAAAGTCACCCACTCCTCAATGCCATATGTACAAAGTAACCATACCTTCAATGCTCTTTGGAATGTACTGATGGATAATAAAGCCAAATCTTGTTGTTCTTCTGCATATCTGGTCAGATAGACGTAAACCAACTTCTTTACCTAAAATAAATAATTATATCTGGTCAGTTAGACATAAACCAACTTCTTTACCTAAAATAAATAATTATATCTGGTCAGATAGAAGTAAACCAACTTCTTTACCTAAAATCAATAATTATATCTGGTCAGATAGACGTAAACCAACTTCTTTACCTAAAATTAATAATTATATCTGGTCAGATAGACGTAAACCAACTTCTTTACCTAAATAAAAAATTATATCTGATCAGATAGATGTAAACCAACTTCTTTACCTAATATAAATAGTTATATCTGGTCAGTTAGACGTAAACCAACTTCTTTACCTAAAATAAAATACATTTCATTTTAAAATAAACCAAACTGTAACTTATCTATTCTAAATGAATGAAGGATATGTCCATGGGACATATATGCCCCAGCTTGTAAATATACAGCAAATTCTGTAAATCTTTATAAAGGGACATAACTCAAGAAAAGTGAAAGTGACACCACCCAAATTCAAACTTAATTTGAGTTTGGTGGTAATACTAATAAGCATTGTGTATAAGTTTCATAACATTTGGTTGAGGCAAACTAAAGTAAGAGAACTGAAACTAATTTTGGGACGTCTGTCTGTCTGTCTGGTATGTATGCAATGCATGATTTTCAAATATGGGCAATAATTTGGTATTCGGCCTTTGGTTTCTTTTTGTATCTTTTTTTTTAAGTTCTAAAACTTTAACTTTTATTCTGTGGGTTGTGTTGGTGTGAGAATAGTATTAATGGAACAAGTGGGTTTTTCGAGGAAAAATTAATCCATTTTGATTCACCGTTTTCGTGACAGGAAACCAAACAGGAAACAAAACTTTATTTTCTTTGTTTTGCACACTTTATTTCAAAAGACATAAATGAACACCATTACTAGTGTTACTTGCTTCGTGTTAATATTTAAAATCTATTTTCAATGTTAAATTAAGGTTTTTTTTAAACGCGACAGGAAACCATAAGAAACCGAAAGCATTTCTTTAGTTTTATTTTAATTGGAAAATCAGCTTAAAATAATCTGTACAGTAAACTTTTTCTTGATAATGTTACTTATAACTTTGGTTTTTAAATTTAGGACTGTTTTTGATAATTTTTTCCAATAGACAATAAAAACTATGAGAATATAGAAACAAGGGCACTTTAGGATGTCACTATAATAAATTATTTTGGGCGCCAACTTGCATCTACTGATTTTGACTACCAATGTATTTTCTCTTGCTTTTTGTTATAATTCTTATACACTTTTATATGTAGCACATGTGCCTACTAACCCTTCATGCCCTTAGAAACCCAATGCAGTGTGGTAGCTAGCTCAGTAACACAATTGCATGGTTAACACTTTGTGCTTATGCGTCACTAACCAGAAAATTCAAGCACTGTAAAAACAAGGAGATCTAGCTAGTGCTACTTATCTTATATAATGTACTTTTCTATATAGGGCTGTTCCAGAAGTGAATGTATGGGGATGTTGGGAGGCACTTTCTCAGCTCTCACTTTTGATTCAATTGGAAAGATGCAGGATATTTTAAATTTCTAAATTTTATTGAACACAAAACAAAAAGCATGATCCAACAAACATATTAATGTTTTGAACATCCAATATGTGAGTGATGTCCATTTTATCCACAGTATAAGTAGTATCTTGTAACGTCCACCCTGTCCCTTGCTTTTTGTAAAATTTAAAATTGAGAATGGAAATGGGGAATGTGTCAAAGAGACAACAACCCGACCATAGAGCAGACAACAGCTGAAGGCCACCAGTAGGTCTTCACTGCAGCGAGAAACTCCCGCACCCGGAGGCGTCCTTTAGCTGGCCCCTAAACAAATATGTACACTAGTTCAGTTGCATGTTTTTATATAGATTAGACTGTTGGTTTTCCGGTTTGAATGGTTTTACACTAGTATTTTTGGGGCCCTTTATAGCTTGCTGTTCAGTGTGAGCCAAGGCTCCGTGTTGAAGACCGTACTTTGACCTATATTGGTTTACTTTTATAAATTTTGACTTGGATGGAGAGTTGTCTCATTGGCACTCACACCAAATCTTCTTATAACCAATAAAAGTTTGAATTGTTTTACGTTTGTGATTTCGGGACCTTTTATAGCTGACTATGTGGTATGGGCTTTGCTCATTGTTGAAGGCCGTACGGTGACCTATAGCTCAGCTGTAAATTTCTGTGTCATTTGGTCTCTTGTGGAGAGTTGTCTAGCGGGCAATTATACCACATCTTCTTTTTTATAAAGACAAGATTCCATATACAAAACATTATTTTTTGGGTGTATAGAAATTCAATGAAATCCTATATTAATTGTTTACACCCATTCATTACAACTGCTGGAAAATTACAATTAAGTACCATGGATTACAGAAATATAACCAAAAACCTCATATACCAAAAAGAATAGCCTAGTTTATTTCACTAAATTTCTTTCCAAAATTTGTGACCACAAATATATAAATCTGATTAAAAAAAAAAATTCTGGTAAGTTGTTATTGGGCTCATTTCTCTAAAGGTCACAAGTTTGATGGTAACTTCTTATCATTCAATACAAATTATGACCGATCTTCAAAGTCACAAGTCCTTAGATTAAACAGAACCCTAGTTCCTTTCAGCAAGGGCAACTGTAAAAAGCTTATTTTAGTATTACTATTAAACTCCTAAATATGTGTTTGTTTTGAAAAAAATTAGTGCAATTTATTCAGAAATTTCAACGTTTTCTTTATTGATACAGGATACCATAATCGTTGTATCTTGATGTTTTAGCCAAAAAAATGTATTTATTGGTTTTGAAATTCCAGTTTTATACAATTAATTCCAATGTCAAATTCCTATTAATCCAGTAAAGTAAAAAACTTTTAACTTGGAATTAAAATCTTATAATAGGCATCATGTGCTATCTGTGACCTGTACACCATCTACATGGTTTCCACATATTTTTTTGTTAACCTTCTTTAGTGGGCTAAAATCAATAAAGTACTTCCTTTCAAGTCATGCATGGTAAAAGTTTACTTCTCCTTTGACAATATTATTGCATTTTTGAAAAGTGTTTGCAGAATATGATTAAAATTAAAAAAAAAAAAAAATTTGTGACAAAGATACCAACTCTGTACATTCCAAGTGTAACGGTATATCAACATGTATTTTTTTTAAATTAGCTTTATTTACCTAAAATATCAAGTACAATTTACTGCTAAAGCAAAATCAATTCAACGAGCATAGGCAGAATGATAAGAAACGTAATGTTGATCGAATTTTCCAAGGACCCTTTTCATCGTTATCTGGAAACAAAGTGTGTTGTAACATCCCTCGAATAAGAAATCGATTTTGTCAAGCCATTGTGCATTTATTTTCACTCAAGATCGTATGTAACATTATGCATGTAGGAAAAACTAGAGGCTCTAAAGAGCCTGTGTCGCTCACCTTGGTCTATGTGCATATCAAACAAAGGACACAGATGGATTCATGACAAGATTGTGTTTCGGTGATGGTGATGTGTTTGTAGATCTTACTTTACTGAACATTCTTGCTCCTTACTATTATCTCTATCTATAATGAACTTGGCCCAGTAGTTACAGTGGAAAATATTATGTAAAAATTTACAAAAATTTACAAAATTTATGAAAATTGTAAAAAATTGACTATAAAGGGCAATAACTCCTTAAGGGGACAATTGACAATTTTGATCATGTTGACTTATTTGTAGATCTTGCTTTGCTGTACATTATTGCCGTTTACAGTTTATCTCTATCTATAATAATATTCAAGATAATAACCAAAAGCTGCAAAATTTTCTTAAAATTACCAAATCAGGGGCAGCAACCCAACAACGGCTTGTCCGATTCATCTGAAAATTGCAGGGCAGATAGATCTGATTAACACTTTTACCCCATGTCAGATTTGCTCTAAATGCTTTGGTTTCAGAGATATAAGCCAAAATCTACATTTTACCCCTATGTTCTATTTTTAGCCATGGCGGCCATCTTGGTTGGTTGACCGGATCACCGGACAAATTTTTAAAACTAGATACCCCAATGATGATTGTGACCTAGTTTGGTTAAATTTGACCCAGTAGTTTCAGAGGAGAAGATTTTTGTAAAAGTTAACAGACGACGCCAGACGACGACGACGGACGCAAAGTGATGAGCCAGGTGAGCTAATAATAGACCCCCGGCGCGATCTCTTTGAAAATTGTATTTTCCTTTTTTAGACAATATGAAAACAGTCTACATAATATGCTTGCTACTATCCCGTTGGAAACAAAAACGATGCTTAGACCTAATATTTCATATACCCGGAAGTAAGCGCTTAATCACATGTTAGCCACACATTTCACGTATGACCGGAAATGATTTGGACTGAACGACAAAAACAATTTTAATAAAAAAAAGTAAATAACTGGACTTCTGTTTCGTGTGAAATGTAACGCATAACGATAACGTCATTTTCTAACTTAATTATTACGAAGAACAAAACTAGAATGTAAATAATCAATGATTTACCTGTTTGAACATCTTGCGAGAGTTCATATTTGCATATTGTTATGAAAAATTCAAGTACAATAAAGCAGACTACACCATTTAAAATTTGTGTTACAAAATCGGAAACCAAACTAACGCTACTTTTCTTACACCTGCTACAAAAATACTAAAAGTTCTCGGCAATTTCTTCTGACTATTCTTTTTGATCGATGTTCTTTATTATTTGAAAGCAAAAGTTACGATTTTGCAGTCGACGATTATCTTTAAATTGGGCAGCCTTACGCACTTCGGAAGCGAAAATAACGGTAAGAAACGACATACAAAAGTGGCCTGATAATCTTAAACATTTGTTTATTTCAAATTCTCTCTAGGGGAGATTAGAAAGCACCTATATTTTAATAGAAATAATAGCATTTGATGGTGGAGCAACAATTTCTCTCAACAAAATACAATATTTTATCACTTTTCTATCGTTATCGGAAACGGTCCCAATACCAAATTATTGCCCATATGCCTTTTGTTCAATCTTAAATGTATCAGTATATTGTTATATAATTTAAATGAATGTCTGACAAAATATGAATACATTACCTCAAGATTTTTACAAACTACATTCTTTACCACAGCTGGAAACAGATCTGATGCATCTTTCCCTTTGGCAACCATCTACCAAACATAATTAAATTCAACATTGAAAACATTGTATAGTAAAATGTAGCATGGCAATATAAAGAACTAAATTCTTTTAACTTATAAATGAAAATTCATTCTATATTTTCAAGTAAAATGGGCTTTTTTCAACAACAAAATTATAGCATTTTGTTTATAAGATATGTCACCATTATTAATTTCACCCCGCCAGTTGTTGTTACCATCTATGATCATCCCAATTCTTATTAATCTTTGTCAATTTCTCCATAGTTTCAGGTTTACATACAATCTTTATGAATAGACATAGTTGGTCCTATTGAAGTGTGTTTTACTGCAGGTATTACTTATTTATTACTACAATTCTTTACATGACTTCTAGTTTGTTTTTACTGCAAGTATAACTGATCCCTACGATTCCTTTTGTGGCTTCTAGTTTTCTTTTACTATAAGTATTACTGACTCCTTCAACTCTTTTCATGGCTTCTAGTTTGTTTTTACTTCAGTCAGTGTTCCAGTCAGGCCATTTTCAGAGGGTGCAGTGCCCGTCCTTTTTACAGTTTCCAGGGCACCCTTTGCATTTTTCATGGTGTTCGACTTTGTGAAGATGGACTATATTCTATTTTTTCACTACAGTGACCGATAGCCGTTAACTTCTATGTCATTTGGTCTCTGGTGGAGAGTTGTCTCATTGGCAATTATACCACATCTTCTTAATTTTATATGAACAGGTAAAAATAGGTTTACCTGTTGACAAAAGCTGATCAGTGCACTTTAATTCACTTTAAAACATTGTTTTACTATGTACGATTTAATTCTAAAACATTTTCTCTACCTAAATAAATAATTATATCTGTGGCACTATTCATTCAGTAATCAGCCAAGGATCTAACTTAAACAAGTTATTACAGAAAATAACAGGCATACTGTTATTGTGGAAATTCTCACAGAGTTATCTCCTCCTGTCATGAATTGTGTTGAAATAACACATGTCCGTTATTGTACAAAGAAACAATGTCTGTAATAACGCCTTTCAGTAATCATAGACAATTTCGTCGGGAGAAACGCAAATCGGGCCAGATACTTTCAAATTTACCGCTGTCTGTTTTGTTGTTAAGATCTTGTGTGATTTCACCATGTTTACATTATTATTTGCATCATTTTCAGTGAAACAACATAAGCACAGTGATTACCAGTTTGTTGTATTTTTGATGATAACTTTGTCTTGCATAAATTTTTTTAGTGGAATTGATTTAATATTTTCCAGTATTTGGGATTATTTAAGCCATGTTAGACATTCGTCAATGATACCTTACGATTAAATGATTATAACAGTATGTCTGTTATTATCTGTAATAACTTGTTTAAGTTAGACCCTTGATTGGTAATGTAATTTTTATTCATGTTGTACTTGTATATATATAGTATAACCAGTGTTTCAATGAATAAAGACAATGTTTGATTTATAACTTTATCAAAACATGCCTTTTTCATATTATAATTTCACGCTTTAAATGCCCTTTTGAAATCCTAGCTGGAACACTGTAACAGGAACATGATGTATTACTGACCCCTACATTTCCTTTGATGGCTTCTAGTTTGTTTTTACTACAAGTAATTACTGACCCCTACATTTCCTTTGATGGCTTCTAGTTTGTTTTTACTACAAGTAATTACTGACCCCTACATTTCCTTTGATGGCTTCTAGTTTGTTTTTACTACAAGTAATTACTGACCCCTACATTTCCTTTGATGGCTTCTAGTTTGTTTTTACTACAAGTAATTACTGACCCCTACAGTTCCTTTGATGGCTTCTAGTTTGTTTTTACTACAAGTAATTACTGATCCCTACAATTCCTTTGATGGCTTCTAGTTTGTTTTTACTACAAGTAATTACTGATCCCTACAATTCCTTTGATGGCTTCTAGTTAGTTTTTACTACAAGTAATTACTGATCCCTACAATTCCTTTGATGGCTTCTAGTTTGTTTTTACTACAAGTAATTACTGATCCCTACAGTTCCTTTGATGGCTTCTAGTTTGTTTTTACTACAAGTAATTACTGATCCCTACAGTTCCTTTGATGGCTTCTAGTTAGTTTTTACTACAAGTAATTACTGATCCCTACAATTCCTTTGATGGCTTCTAGTTTGTTTTTACTACAAGTAATTACTGATCCCTACAATTCCTTTGATGGCTTCTAGTTTGTTTTTACTACAAGTAATTACTGATCCCTACAATTCCTTTGATGGCTTCTAGTTAGTTTTTACTACAAGTAATTACTGATCCCTACAATTCCTTTGATGGCTTCTAGTTTGTTTTTACTACAAGTAATTACTGATCCCTACAATTCCTTTGATGGCTTCTAGTTTGTTTTTACTACAAGTAATTACTGATCCCTACAATTCCTTTGATGGCTTCTAGTTTGTTTTTACTACAAGTAATTACTGATCCCTACAATTCCTTTGATGGCTTCTAGTTTGTTTTTACTACAAGTAATTACTGACCCCTACAATTCTTTTCATGGCTTCAAGTTAGTTTTTACTACAAGTAATTACTGAGCCCTACAATTCCTTTGATGGCTTCTAGTTTGTTTTTACTACAAGTAATTACTGACCCCTATAATTCCTTTGATGGCTTCTAGTTTGTTTTTACTACAAGTAATTACTGACCCCTACAATTCTTTTCATGGCTTCAAGTTTCTGGTTGTCTCTATTACTGTCTAACATTGTCTTCAAATCTTCATGTCTGTAAAAAATACCACTCAATATTGTAATTCAATATATATATATAAGTTACATTTACATGATTTAAGAAATGTGGAATAATTTAATTGCCATCAGGACAACTTTCCTTAAATCAAAGGACAAAGATCAGTCAGGGGACTTATTGAAATAAGTGATTTTTAAATCACTTATTTAAGTAGCAAATTCAAAGTTTTGTCACAAATTGTGATTTTGTAGTTTTACCAAAATTTTAAACACATAGGTTTAGATAATATCTTTTCATTAGTAAAATTGAAAAAAATGAACTTTTTGCTTGTTTTAAGCAGCAAGGTTTATGCCTTTGATGCAATCATTTAGCTGCAAATTCTATTTTAGTTGAAAAAATGCTGTAGAAATGGCTTTACATAATGAACTGATATTTTCTTAACAGATTTTTCCCAGCAGTGGGAGTATTTTTCCTGTAAAATTCAAGGTTTCATCTTATAGATTATGTAATAAAATTCTACTGTTCGAGATCAAAATTTCACTGTTCGGGGGTGTTGAAATTAGTGGGGTTTATTAAAAAAATGATACTTAAAGAAGTGATTTTTTGGAAGGAAATTGAGGTATGATACTTAAACAAGTGATTTTTATGTCATTATCCTAGATTTGGTACAAGGTCATCACCTGACATGACCCGGTCATCCTATCAACACAGATGTTGGTTCTGATAATTTTAGCAACATAATTAGTCCCTGGATCATTAGTATTCTATATTTAAAGCTACAATAAAATTAAATCACTTAGTCTAGTCATTAATTTGTACTACTTAAATAGGTGATTATTAAAGAAAGACAACTCTTACTTCCAACCTTTATGGACATAATGTTACTTGAATCAGTGATTTAGAAAATCACTCATTTAAGAAAGTCCCCTGACTGAAGATGTAAACAGTTACAGGTCAATTAGACACTGTACTGCCTTCATAAATGAGCAAAATATACTTTATAGTATACTGCAAAAGACTCCAGTGTAAAATAATTCAAAATGGAAATCTGACTGCTTGCACTTGATTCATACTAAAAGACCCAATGACCTGCAAATATTTTTACTGTTAAGGGCCATCAAAAATAAAATTTCTGTTGGTCCTAGTTTCAATGTACCTCTCACATGAAGAATCCTTGATTACCTTTAATTAAGTCATATACAAATAAGTCAATTTGGTAAACATAACTGTTATTACCTGTTTAACCTAAATTTCAAGAACTAGTTTTCATCCTGGATTTATTTCTCATCCTATCTATAATCGTTGTAATTAGTTGACTGTTTGCAGTTTTTGTTATGGTTGCATCAATGATTGTATTTGTTGAATCGATTAATCAACACTTGTTACTGGATTCTTTTGTGTTTTGATTGATTAAGAGATACTTTAAGACTTTGACAACCATTCTATGGCTAAATTTCAGTGCTCGAAAACAAATTTTTTGACCCTGGTGGTCCAAATGAAAAAATTTGGGCCACCACTTTTTTCAGAGACTCAAATTTTGGTGGTCCAAATAGAATTTTAATGGTCCTAACAAAAGACAACAATCTCTTATTAATTTTTATTTGATACAATTTATAGACTTCTTTTCCATTCATAACTTCATAAACCATCCTCCTCGAAAGCCTTAATCATAACTTTTTCACATTTTGTAAAAACATATTTGTAAATATAAGTTAAGTGTAATCATTATCTTAAGTAGGAGGGCTCTGATTCAAAAAGGAGGATTGTGCCTGGGAATCGGCTTTGCTTGAATTTATATACTAAGTTGGGTAAATCTTTGAGATGCTCCCTCTCGGGGAACAACTGTATTGCATTGAATTGATTGTCCTTGATTGGCATGGACTATGGAAGGATAATAGATATCTACACAACAATAGGTGAGATAAAGGATGTAACTGAGTGGACAGTATCAAATGTAATTTAGGTTTTTGTTTATTTTTACACCAACAGCAGGAAGGACAAAAAATGACCATCAAAATCCAAAAAAGATTTTTCTTTCTGAAACAAATACATTTAAATTTTATATATCTAGTGGATGCCAGGCCTTAAAACTTTCCAAACTGCACAGGTTAGTCTGTTCACAGAGTAGTTTTTGAGGTATAAATACAGCCATTTTTGTCCATTTGTAATGATGAACCTTAAATCTCGCATATTCTCGCATGATTTTCAATTATACGCTTGACCCACTCAGAATTCTAGGTTGTGAACAAGCTTTCCCGAAACTAGAGTATTACTGTGAATTCATTTATTTTCGTGAGTACCAATTTTCGAGGATTGAGGAAAACTTTCATATTCGTGGATATTTGATTTCATGGTTTTGGAGAAGTCTGCATACATTCCTTCAGAAAACTTGTATTTCGTTGAACATTTAAATTGGTGGTTCCACTGTTCCCACGAAAATTAGTATCCGACGAATATTAATGAATCCACAGTATACTTCTTGTCGCTAAATTATTCTTCTTGTGTAAATAGTGAGACAAAAGGTAAGAATTTGTATATATGCATAAATGTCTACAGTACTGTCAGTAGCTGTCATTGAGAGTCAACAAAGATTCATGGCAAAATCAAAAGTCTCAAAGTTGAGCTCAAAATTCTCTCTCTAGAAGTCCAGACGAAAAAAATAGGTTCACCGTTATGATATCGTAGGAAGGCGTCACAGCAAAAATCTAAAATTTGGTGATGCAAAAAAAAAGTTGGGACACCATGCATACATTGAATTACCGTTTAAAGTCAGTATTAAAGAATCCACTACTTGCTGGATCTGCGGTAAGTTCTCCTTCAGCGCTACCAGTCGAGGACGGAGGCTTCTCATTTGCGTAACCACCACTCATTTTGTGGTATTTTCCTGCCGGTCTTTCAGAATCTTGTGATTGATAATAACCGGAAGTTACGTCCGTAACTCAAACTTCCGGTGTTGACAATGACCGAAGATAGAAACGGTCGAAAAGAAATAAAAGAACCGTCGAAAACTTTTTTTTAAACTAATGGACTGATCATTTATAACCTGAAAGGGAGGGGGGAAATAAGGAATTCTTCATACAAATCGGATATCTATCCTAATTTTTACAGTGATTTTTGTCGAGCTTGCGAAATTTATTTCCCGAAAGCAAGATCGATAGAGTCTGTGGTTAAAGTTTTTTTAGACATCAATAATTTTGTCAAACTTACATGGAATTTTATGAAATTTTGACCGAAGCTTGTTCATGACCAATATACCGTATCCAGAGCAAACTTTTGCAAATATTTCTTTTTATTTTCCCGCTATTTACTGATAAAATGGACTTAAAAAGTTTTTTTTTACAGTCAACACTAACAGGCTCAGTCTGAGGTTTAAGTTTTTCAGTCATCAATAACCTTGTCAAACCTTTTTGGAAATTTATGAAAATTGGACAGATGCTTGTTTATGACCAATAAACAGTATTCAGAGTAAATTTTTGAAAATATTTATTATTTTCGATAATTACTGATAAATGGACTTTAAAGTAGATACAGTCTGGGCTTAAAGTTTGTTACATATCAATTACTTTGTCAAACCTTCATAGAGTTTTATGAAACTCTGGCAGAAGCCTTTTAATGATTAAGGGATAATGTCTGAAGTAAACCTTTTGAAAAGTAACAGGGTTCCACGGAACCCCTTACGAATTGTGTTTATAAAGCCCGTAAATTTAGACACATTCCTTGTAAACTAATTGATCCTTTGAATAAACTTATTCTTAAAGGTTATCAATTTAACACAGTAGTTAAATCTTAGATATTGTTTTATAGGACTAAACTAACATTAATTTTGTTTTTGAAAAATTAAAACATGACTGACTATATGTTGCTATATATCTACAGTTATGATAACTTATGATTCTACATCCTGTAGATACTGTTTACTTATATTTTGGCATTGCAAAATGTAATGCATTTCTCAGACTGATTATGACGTCTTTACACTAAATCCGTTGGATGTGTACTTGTTTATACTTTAGTCTGGGAAAACATGATTTTATTTATTAGTTGTTATTGTCTTTGAACTATCTTTCAGTAACTGTGAGTACTCTTTTTCGGTGCTTTGTGTCTACTGTTTGTGTGCCTCTTAACGATCTTTTGAGTTGCAAATTGCAATTGAATTTCACAGTTTGTTCTTGTGTTGTGCTGTAACACCGCTGTCCCAGTTTAAGGGAGGGTTGAGCGCTCACAAACTTGTTTAACCCTGTAACATTCTTTATATATCTGTCCTAAGTCAGAAGCCTTTGGTACAGTTGTTGTCGTTGGTTCAGGTTTGTCATACATGTAATTTTATTTTAATTGCTTTGCTATGAATTATAGGCCGTTAGTTTTCTCGTTTGAATTATTAAACATTTTTTATGTCGGCCCTTTTATAGCCGACTATACAGTATGAGTTTTTCTCATTGTATGTTGAAGGCTATTGTCTATACATGCTTACTATCACTTCATTTTAACTCTGATGGAGGCCGTACGGTGGCCTACAATTATTGCTTACTACCACTTTATTTAAACTCTGCATGTTGGATAGCTGTGTCATTGGCAATCATACCACATCTCCTCATTTTCATATATATCCAAATAAAGCTCCCTGAAGTCACAAACAACTTCCCCTACTTTAAGCTTTAGATCTACTATTAATGCAATATTTTATTGAACGATAATATTATAAATAGAAATTGTATGCATGTAATAAATATTAAAAGTATTGAGGAATGTTAGGGGGGTTTATGTGTATGGAAGGAGGAGTCTTGCATTTATTTTCTATCCTCTAGGAGTATCCACCGTCTATAAATTATCTTGGAAATTGAATATTCCATGTAAAAGAAAAATGTAAATAAATTGGCAGACTCACTTCTTGCAAATATGTAAATTTAAAAAGAACTGAAAATTGGTCAGTCCCAATCCTGTATGGAGATCTCTACAATCAAAAGTGTCAGTCCCGATCCTGTATGGAGATCTCTACAATCAAAAGTGTCAGTCCCAATCCTGTATGGAGATCTCTACAATCAAAAGTGTCAGTCCCGATCCTGTATGGAGATCTCTACAATCAAAAGTGTCAGTCCCGATCCTGTATGGACATCTCTACAATCAAAAGTGTCAGACGTCAATAAAGGTATAACAAAATGCAGATTCTTCTTCCATATAAGAGGTGAGAGATAGGTTACCGGAACATACATTACCCAATCCGAAAAATCGGCAAGATTCAGCAAAGAGGGGGTTAGTTCTATGTGTCACTATGTCTTAATAAAGATGAATATATTGCTCATTTCTTAATAAGATGCTCATCTTTATTGGATATCCGCAAGATGTACTATACAAAGTTTAAATATCTGACTATCTCATATGTGGGTCATTTGAAGAAATATTGGCAAACTTATTTTGTAACAAAAGAATCTATTGTCAAATTAAAAATAGTAGACTGCTCTGTTTAAAGAGAAGTTAATTCAAACAAATTGATAAAACCAAATTCTTGAAGTTACCAAATCTCCAACTTACATGTGCTATAAATTATATATACAAAAAGTCATGTCAAAAGACTGTCTCTACTAAATTCTATTTAGTGATCAATTGTGAATTAAAGTATTTGCTAGTCAGCGTGCCGTTTTTCTACGCTAAATCAATATCATTCATCTATGCACCTTTCACATATATATTCTCCTTATGCATATATCGAATGTGCTGCAGGCTTGATATGAACTAACTTTGTCTTATTGTGCCTGGGAATCGGCTTTGCTTGAATTTATGTACAGGTCCACCATGTAATATAGTTGAATCCCTACTGAGTGAAGATGTACACAGTACTGACTTTTAACTATTTTTTATGTTTGAATTTATTGGATTTAATGAAGTCATCCTGAGGATATTTTAGATTTTATACCGAGATGTATTTTAACTTACTGATTTCTTGGTGTCCCATAGCTGGGAATACAATAAGATAAGATAAGATATTTTTTTTATTCCATTTACATTAAAGGGCACACGAAGAGCAAAGTAATTTATTACAACGATTCTAATAATTGACACAATAATTTTGATAATCATATATAAATATGAATATAATCAACTAAATTCTAAGATCTTAAACCACAGCCAGACCAGAGCCATAAGCATATAAGTAAAAAAGCATAACAGTTATATAGAAGATTAACAAGCAAATATTCTTAATGGTTTACTGATAGTTTTCTGAGTTCAAAACATTTACTAATATAAATGGCAATAATTTTCAATACTTCTAGGTTTTCTTGAATAAAAAGCCAACTAAACTATGCACATGTGTTTAACGTATCGAAATTTTTACGACTTATTAACATTTTATCATATTACTCTTTTCTCAAGAGATTATAAAGGGGACATTGACATATATAAATGCTCTTCATCTTCAACTTTATCCAAAAGAGCATTTTTCACATAATCTTTGTGATTTATTTATTTATATAGTATTTTGCATATCTATCCGTCTCTGTTTTTATGTGGTGTTCTTATCTTGATCTTGCATAGTGCTTGTCTATCTTTAAAATCTTTTAATTCCAGATATTTTTTTGTACCAAAAAATGTTAAATTGAAAAATAAGTCAAGAGTTTATCTTTATCTGATTTACCAGTATTTTCTCTAAAATCTCTCCATGAATAATTCAGAAAACTTTTACATAAATTATCCTTAACTATAGTACATTATCGGCCAGCACTTACATTTAATTTTGATCAGTCTATTTTATTCATTAAAAATCAATACTAGAAAACCATGTAGTATAATATGTTTTACATGTAACTTTTTATTACAAATATATGCATAATATAATAAACCATCCTTTGTGTTCTCTAACCTATGAGCATATTTTAACATAGCCAATAAAATTGAAAAATAAATAGGAAATCTTCCTAATTCAGACATAACAGCAAAATTACTTGCTTTTCGGTAAACCCCAAGAACATATTTCATAAATTTTGTGTGTGATTTTTTCAGATATGTCTTTTGAATAAACTTTTTCTAAAATGTAATCGTTCTTTTTCTTACGGTTGAAAACATTCCCCATATTTCACTGTCATACATTAAAATAGGTTTAATTGTATGGTCATAAAGATGCATTAAAGTTAAGACACTAGGATTTGATGATGCTAAGCATTGTTGTAATCCAAAACAAGCTTTCTTAGATTTCTTGTATAGCTCATCTTTACACTGTGTATAAATTTACCACTAGATACAAAAGTAATTCCTATGTAATTGTACAACACTTTACACTTTCAAGTTGTTGCCCGTTTGAATACAATTGACAATCAACATGTTTTCCTAGTTTGTTAAAAAATAAAACTTTTGTTTATGCTGAGTGTTCTTGCGTTTGTTTTTACAGTATTCCTGTCACGTAGTGATGTCATTTTAGCTGTATTTTTAACATTGCCATACTAAGCGGGAGGTTTGGCTAGCATTAAAACCAGGTTCAACCCACCATGTTTTCTTAAAATGTTATGTACCAAGTCAGGAATATGCCAGTTGTTATCACACAGTCCATTTCTATGTATGTTGGCGTTTACTTTTGTTGTAGTTCAGTGTTTCTGTTGTTCCGTTGTTTTCCTTTTATAGTTCATGTGTTTCCTTCGGTTTTAGTTTGTTTTACTCGGATTTGTTTTTGCTTCATCGAATTATGACTATTGAACAGCGGTATACTATTGTTGCCTTTATTTAAATAGATGTATTTTACTTGTGCAGCTGTATGTTAATTTATTGATAGTGTTTGGTTGCCGTATTTAGAATCATTTTGTTTATTTGACATTGTTTGATTGTAAATAAATTGTGCAAAAAAAAATATAGATTAAAATATAAATTAAAATACTGGTAAATTATTAAGCCAGGGATTTCGTTACCACAAATTACTTAAAACCTTTACTAAATTCTTCCACAGA